ATAAAATAATAAAGCAAAGTACACAAGTATTGTAATTCACTGAGGCTTTAATTCGACACTTTTATCACATAAAAGCTGCATGTTGCAAGGTATATAGTATTTTCTTGATAAGTCACCCAAAATTGAGAGAAATAGTTAAAATTAGCTCCACCTTGGCCAACACCACCATAAATGAATATCCATTTTAGCTGGACCTTTTTTTTTTACAGTACACACACTCTTGACTTTTCAAACAGGTGTGTCTAATTAACAACTGGCTCATGTTCATGGAAACCAGCCATCGTTAATGTTGTTATCTCCACATGAGGTTCTTCAGCTGGGGCAAGTACAAAAGCAAATAAGTAAACCATCATTAAAATTGCTTGAATAAAAATGCCATCATCATTAGAGCGGATAGATTTCCCAGGAACCTGATGATTTGGTGTTCAAGTCGCAGTGCACGATCAACATTACCATTAATCTCCCAGAAAGGTGCACCTGAACGCCACATGAGATAATTAGTCTGTGCTCTCTCAGTGCTGGACACTTAATGAAGAAGTATTTACGAAATATTTTTAGGGCAGTATTATCATAAACTCTCTATCTTACTTTATCCAAGATATAAAAATAAGAAAACTTGCTCCACCCCTAATGAGTCATTTAAAAAAAAAAAAGACAGTACAGATATAGACTGGCTGAGGCTAAAAATGGATTATATTCATCACTCCCTTTTACTCTCACAATGGTTAATTTGCACCTTATCATTCATTCATTTAATTACGCTATGACCGAATGGGCACAACCCATCTCAGGTGCCTTCAGCGTTTCTTATTAGCGTGCATGGGGGTTCTCGTGGATTCAGCTCATCTGTTGTATTTGCTCATTGAGACCTCTCAGCCCAGACCCAATCTCTCCTCATTAACATTTTAGGTGACGAGTCTGTCACGGCCTTAATTAACAATTCATGAGAACGGGTTTATAGCTATATTAACATTTTACAACCAATAAATCAGCTTTCCTAATGTGCTGTGTCATGCAGCATGTATGAGCATCACAGGGGGCACTTTGTTAGTGTGTGGGTGACATATAGCAACATGTTTCCCTTTGTCTCCAAGTCTGTCTCCATGTCTGTCGCTGAGCATGCCATTTGTTTGAACTTTCTCTTAATCTGATGTTCTGATCATGACAGTGTAGTGAATCATAACATGTATGCTTTTTTGATCAGCACAAGAAAAAATCCAACCTGAAGTCATTCACAGCATTATGCCAATTAATGACCTAAAAAGATAAATCCCACAAAGCGAGTGCCACCCATAATGGAAACGGTGCTATGTTCGATCAGTAGACTATTACAAAGTGACAGCGATGTTAGTCTCTTTTTCTGTGGGAAGCAAAAGGAACAAGAAGGGAGAGCAGAGATGAGGAGGGATATATCTGAAATAATGGTGAAAGACAATCTGGTAGAACCGATCCTCTGAGGTATCATCATTTCGGTTTATTTTACGCCACATATTCAAAAAGCCTCTGAGAGTGGGTGTAACAGCATGAAATAAAACCAAGGAGTCTTTAACTGCTTCATGGTGCTATGATATGTGTATGTGTGTTCATGTAGCATGGTTTCTAAAAAGCACAAATAATCCTGCATCTGTAAGAAAATATCTGCAATCTGACTTTACTTTTGTCGCAGAGCTTCAAAAGAACATTTTCTCTTTTATATTTCAGCTCAAAAATGTCATGCAATGACTGAATGAAAGGGTAATATCTGGTCAAAACACCATGTATCATGCTCTCTTATGGCGCGTTTCCACTGCAGCGGGTAGCCCCGTTTAAGCGTCCTTAACCGTCCTCAAGCGGCCAGGCCGGTTTTTGGTGGCGTTTCCATATAGCCTAGTACCGGCCAGCGGGTACTTTTTCCCTCCTCATAAAATCGTGGTTCCCTCAGACCAGGGCCAGGGCTGAACTAGTGACGTCAACACTCTCGACTGCTGATTGGTCAGAGAGAATCGTCACAAGATTGCGCGCGAGTTCATCCCTAGCGTCGCATATATATCTAGAAGCAAGCTTGCAGCATTTTTATACACAGCATTTTGTAAACGGAGGAGCTACAAAAATGGCTACTTCTAAGAAAAGCACACCGTGGTCGACCGAGGAGGTGACGACGTTCCTACATCTCATTGGGGATGATACAATCCAGCGGGAGCTCGACGGAACAACTCGAAATGTGAACAAAAACAAAGCCGATCGCCCTGCCTATACTGCGTTGCTACCCCAGGTCCTAAACTGTAATGGAAATGCGCCACGACCTGGGCCGGCCAGCGAGGCAGCCCGAGGCCAGAGCGAGGACGCTTAGGGACGCTTAAACGGGGCTACCCCGCTGCAGTGGAAACGCGCCATTAGTGGGTGGGGCTAAAACAGAAAGAAGTTGAACTGAAGTAACAATCCCCTTTATGCAGCTGCTTGACCCCACTTTGAAAGTCGGTGTGTGCATGCCTTGGTTCCCCCACTGAGTCACCGTGTAAGTGCAGCAGTGTCCTGCTGTGATGCTTGTGGTGCAGAGCTGTTGCTTGCCAAAAGAAAGCGATCTCTGCAGCACATCTCACTCTACCTGGGTTTCCAAAAAAAGCCAGAGTCTTGTAAAATAAGAATGTTTACAAGAGCATGTTAACTTTCCGTCGATGGTTCAGATGGTTCACAATATGGAGCATTGTGTCCCAGAGCATTAGTAATTTAAGGGTTCTACAATACAGAATACAACTGGTTTTGAAGAAAAACCTGCTTTGTATTGCCTTGCTGTAGCAGCCTTGAATACCCATCCCCAAGGTGATTCTGCACATTTATTATAGGTTAACATAAAGATCAAGTTCACTGCATCAGTGCATTGCCACATGTAAAGGATTCTTTAGCAGTATTAGTGAGGGGCGGCCTTGCAAAGTCCATGTCTCAATGACGAATGCATTGGTTGCTGCCTGCAAAGGACCCACCCTGATTCAATGCACCTTATTCCAATTTCAGTCAGCCTCCAACTTCTGCAAAGTCAAAAAATAAGAAATCGATCCGAGAGAGGTGGCAAGAGGAAATGTCCCCTGAATGTATTGAAGACATAAAAAGGTGTTTTCTTTTGTTAAACTACCAGAGATGGCTGGGTATTTTCCTTCATTCATGACTCATCTCACTTCCCATTTTGCTAGAATGTCAGGGTGCATATATAGTTATGGACTATATTTAACTTGAGCAGGACATAGAGGTGTGTGGTGTGTTGCTTCATAAGGTCATTATGGAAAATAGGTATAGTGAATAAATAGTATGGGCTTTTTCCAATGCAACACATTGTGTGGCATTGTTTGTGACTTTCTGTCAAAATCTAAATGATCACCTGTTGACAATAATTGTAAAATATTAACGGTTATGATATCAGTTTAAATAACCAAAGACAGAAAAGGATGTATAATAGAAATACATGAAGGTAGTATGTTGATCATGAGGTAGGCTCAGAGAAAGCATGATTCCAATTAAAATGTATACTAATAATAAAGGATGCTGAATTCAGAGAGCATAACACAGCACAGGAAGCTGACATGAACATAGTATGGCAAGGTGATGGAACCGCGAAAATGTGGAAACTCATACTTCTTCAGTGATAAATGTTCTTTTCTCACTTTTGGAAAGAAATTGCCATGACTACAGGAAGGAGTTTTGCTTTCTTTACTGCTGCTCTGCTGCCCTCTTCTGGTGAATAAACAACCAGCCATACAGTAAATAGATACAAATCTGACTCATAACCTTATTAAGAACCTTCAATTTCTTGTCTCAATAGCCTGCAGTAGATGTTAGGGTTTGCCAATAATCAGGTTGATGTACAGGTCAGAAATATGTGTAAATATAAGACAGTGAGAGGGAATGAACAGAACAAATCAATAACATTGTCAATAATCTCATTAGAGTATCTTAAGGTATGACGAACCAAGTGTTTCTGATGCTCATGTTGATAAATGAAATCCCTGCAGACGTCATTACCTTGCATAACCAAGTCCAGCATCTCCCAATTGGCTGGCCTTCTGCAGGCAGCCTGATGAAATAGTGCAATATTATTTTGGGAAGGGTTATCTCTGGTCAGGTTCAGAAAAATAGATTGTTCAATGGTGAAAGGTTATTTTTTGAAGAGGGCGCCACATGTTTGATTTACATTTGCTTCCACGATGCTTAACAGATCCCCCCTGAATAACCATTACAATGTGAATTTACACCCTGTTTTTTTCAAGTCCTAATCTCCCTTTCTGTCTCTTCTTCAATTTTTGACTTTGTTATCCCTAATCTTTTCCCCGGAGTTGTTTATTTAATGTTGACTGACAGAATCAAGAGCGGGAGGATACTGCCTAAGGCCATCTCCCTAAAATATTTTTCACAGCACCACTTTGTGCTTGGAAACTCATCCTCCTCACACATTCACACATCACTAAAGCACTGACAATGAATTCCTGCCTCGAGTGCTGTGAATTGAAACTCTAGTGTAACTAACGTGCTACTTTCTGTCTCCCACCTCACTAAGATTGTGCTCAGCAAATTGCTCAGTTTGGCATGGAAAAAAGATGATCTCAATGCAATAGGAACAGATTGCACACTTTATATTCCTCCATATAAGCAGCAGAGCAGACCCAATGTAGATGACTTCTGTTATCCCTGGCCATGAATATCATCAATCCCACTGCACACACCTCTTTCAACTCTGGAGGTTACATTCAGGAGACATTATCCTGTTATGTTCATCAGTGAGGTGTGAATTTGTGGCAGTGGGCAGACAAAGAAGTAATCAACTTGTATACAAAATCGTCTCTGATGCCAGAATCCTCTACAAAAGCATAACTTAAATAAAGGAAATAGATCAACACATAACAAGAACATTTGAACTATAAAACAAAGGCACTTTTTGATCTATACAACTTTCTTCTTAAAGCTGGGGAGTTTTTTTCCCGTGAATTTTTGGGAGGAGGGTGTTGGCCCCAAACGCGTCATTCCAAAGGAGTTGCAGTGAAAGTGGACTTCCCCAAACTTGGAGTTTGATCAGTCACTGGGGCAATGTGGCTGTGGTGTTTGGGATCCTCGCACATTAAACTGACAGGGTAGCCCTCTTTTTCGAGGTTAGGATTATTTATTTTGAGGCGTTTTTAAAGTATGACTTCCAGAAGTGGAGCGATGGACTGGCGGTGGATAGTTTTCTCACTGTTTTTGAACTTTCACTTCACTTACGGGTCTCCCCCCTCTTATGACTTGTTCCATGGAGCTGCATACACTGGACCGGTACACAGACACAGAAACAGGTAAATTACGGGGTTTTATTCTTTTGTGGACAGCATTTTAAACTTTTCAGTTTTTTTGTTGAAGTCCAAAAAACAAGTTAAACGCGGGCGTTTCTTAAACCCCACTGCCCTTGAAGGTAAACGTTGGTGTTGCGTAGTTGCCAATACAAATGAGATGAAGTCCAAACTCCTTATTGATCGGAATGACCTCAGGCCAGTGGAGATTTAACCTCTTATGGTCATCTGTAGCCTGTTAACATGCACTGGCTTGTATCTGCCTGTGGCTAAATGTGGCTTAAGTTTGCCAGTAATGCTAAAAGGTGATAACATCCAGATAAAGGCAGGAATGCCAGTGATTGCTCTTATCGTTGACATTCAAGAGACCATTAGTTCATTTGCTATTTAGAGATTAACTAAAACATTATTTTAAAAGTCACTCAAATGACGCAACCTATAGTGAAAGCTCAGTAAAGCGTCAACAAAATGGCAATAATAATGATAAACTCCATTTATGTAGCACTTTTCAAAAACAATATGACAAAAGGCTTGACAGACATAGAAACAGCACAAGAGGTAAATTGAACACAATATTGAAAAGTAGAAGATTAAATCTATCAGTCTAGATAAAAACAACAACCTTTAATCAAAGCCATTTCATTCAAATGCCCCGAATTGTGATGTTTTTGTTATCCAACATCGCTTAAAATCCAATATCTCATTTTATAGTATTTGCATACAAATTATTTAACGTGTTTCGATAGCTCTAGGTATACATCTTGAAGTTCTTGTTTATTTATGCCTCCCTCTTCAGGAACTGGTGTGCCTATGTGGTGCGTAAAAACGTGAGCTGCGCGGTGCAGGGGAGCGTGGAGAGTTTCCAGGAGCCCGTGATGGCCCCCTGCCCAGCATACCAGCCAGACTGCCAGAAACAAGTGACGTGAGCATCCAGGGAGGGGTCGATGGTGCATGAGATATACTGTGATACAAAATGTTTCTCTTAGAGAGACCTAGAAGGTAAATATTCTCTTAAACCAAAGAAAAACTGTACATTTAGATTAGACCAACTGTTGGCTGATCTAAATGCACAGCGTTTTACAGCAAGTTAAATCCCACCAATATGACAAAGGGTTAAACAGGAAATGTAGCCTTAAACTGATGATGACAAGCCTCCATCTCTCTATAGCTGAAAGGAACTGCTATTGGTAATTTACCTGAAATAATCTTTCAAGTTACAAACGTACAGCCAGGATACACTTTATGACTACCTACACTTATCTTCTTCCGAATACTCACAACATTCAACAGTGTTAAGATGGATTCTCAGTAAAATGAACATGTTACAAGAGTAACAGAAAAGTGTGCTGTTATAATGTAATGTATTTAATTAGCTTCAATCATACGTATGTTGCCTTATGTTACCCTATCCTTAGAAAAAGATTATAGAAATACACCAATCAACAGTATACAGTGTCTAATGTGCTTGTGGTGTTGAGAATATGTAGCCTCGAGCCAATCATGCATTGAATGAAAAATCAGCATTCATCTGGGAACCTTTCTATTAGATTTATGGGTCAAGATTGACCAATCTTTTTTATATTAAACCCTTTGAGACCAACAATTTATTTTTACAAGGTAGACCTGACAATTCTGCTTATTTTTTATCCTAGTATTTGAAGGCTATTTAAGCGAGGGGAGCAGGGCACGTAAAAGCTTTCTTTCCAAATTCAGTTTGTGCATTTGGAACAGAGACAACAGCACTAAATGTTATGATCAGACTTTAACTACAGACTCAGTTAGCTTTACGAGACAGCAGACCTCCAAGGTTGTGAATGGCTTCGTCAAAATAAATGAAAAAAGTTAGACACTGAATTTTATTGGGAGAGTTTCCTTTTGTCTTTTTGATTTACTTTAACTTGTTTCCCATGGAACATGTTTCCAGAGCAGCTCTGTCTCTGACATATGTTTTCATCTAGTGGTCAAACATGTGTTATTATCACACTCCCAGAGGCTTCACAGCTGTTGAATTGTCATATGCTGGTGGTCCTCAATATAACATATCTCAATTTTCTGTTGATGACTTTTTCAACATCATAAAAAATAATAGTACAAATCAATTTGATATGGAAACATCATCAGAAGGAATGTCCTCCTAGTTGTATTCAGAGACAGCTTTCACATGGAATGAATTAACGTTGTTGTGATCAGTGCATGAGATTTATTATCAGAAAATCTGAAACGGAAAGCTTATTTGAGTAACTTAGATAAACAGCAATCCGTTCCCCTAATGGTGTAATTGCTTGTTGTAATTTGGAGTGTCCACACCAGCAAGTATTAAGAAACAGTCAATAACATTTTTACTGGAACATGTTGCAATTATAATATATTTAGCTTTGCGATTTATTATCAGTTGTGAAACACCACATGCTATCTGTGGTTGAGCTTTGTGATCTATGCACAAACACATCCACAAGAGACTGTGATGAGGAAAGGATTCCTGGAAACAGAAAATTCTCAGGTCACAGGAGACCAAGTTTCCACGTTTCTGCCTAAAGAAAAAAAGATGGCAGTGAGAAAAAAGGCACCTCTGGCTTTTTCCATTTCTAAGATATGACATTATATTCTGGCTTTCTCTCTTGTAAAGAAGAGATTAAGGAACACAGTTGAAAACAACCATAATGTTAAAGGTTTTCAGTTTCCTTTCTTCCATTTGTCAAGCTGCAATAGTGTTATCATTGATGGAGTCTGTTAGGAAATGTGCTGGGATGATTGTTTCGGTCGACTTTCCAGATGTTCTCGATGTCACGACCCCTACTTCAGGGAAGTGATTTCATCTATTGTTTCTTTGGAAATGGTTTGCCTTGACTAGAAAGTTGAAATGTTCATGAACAGAGACAGACTCAAAGACAATCCAAAAATCCCAAGTGCTTTGGTGATTGCAGGACGCTACAGTTCCCAATCAAAATACTTGTTATTGGAAGTGATGTTTTGTTTTTTTAGAAACGGCAGAGTAGCTGTAGCACAACAAGCAAAATAGAGGAATAACACTCAAAAAGGGTCTGGATTTATCCTAGAAATAAAGCAGCGTTTCCCATTTTATATTTATATTTGTTTGAGATCTTGGAAAAATAGGTTCCGTCCTGTTTTACAGATACCACAATCGGTTTCGACCCACGTACAAGATTGCCTTCAAATCAGTCACAGAGTTGAAGTGGAGATGCTGTCCTGGTTACCACGGTCTGGACTGCAAAGACTTAAAACCAGCCCCGGACCGACAAACAGTTCAGGGAACACAGCCCTACTACCCACAGAATCCTGGATATACACCCAGACACACGCAGAGTAAGACATTTTCTGTTTTACTTTAAGCGTTTTTGTCCATTAATACCGTATTTTCAAAGTGTCATTCTTCTCAAAGAGGAGAGATTAATTTGTTCAAATTTCATCTGATTGTAGGGCCAGAGCGGAGAGAGACAGCGCACCATGAAACGAGGCGTGATGGGGGGGATAAGGTGCATCTTCTGGAAGGTGAAGTTCAGCGCCTCTCTCGGATAGTCCAGGATCTCCAGTCCGCTTTGACAGGGTTAACCACCAACCTCCGCACAGACCTGCAAGACGACACAAAGAAGATACTGGTGACGCTTCTCAACAACATGCGTCCGCCAGACAGCTCTCCAGCTGCAGACACCGAGGACAGCCCGGCAGTGCTGGACGGTCACCAGGCTACTAGAGGAGGGATCGTTGGAGACAACGCTATAGACAAAATAGTGACCCGGTTGGATGACCTTAACAATGAAATGAAAATCAAAGATGACGCTTTGGAGGACCTAAGAGGAACCATGACAAGTCACGAGGGACAGATCCGCGTCCTGATGCAAGCCTCTCAATCTCAGGCTCCTGCCATAGCGGAGTTTGATGTTGTCCAGAGCTACGTTGATGGAACATTTGAGAAGCTGAAGAAGGAGCTGGACCAGAATGTGGAGGAACAGATGGCCAAGCTTCAAAGCTCATGCAATGACAAGGTCAAGACCTGTGAAGACAGCCGTGATGAAGGTTTGCTCAAGCTGACCAAGCTGTTAGATGTCAAGGAGACTGATCTGAGGAAGGAGATCCGGGCACTTCGTCTGGACATGGCAGCCGCAGATGGACCGATACGGACTCAAAGACAGATTAATCCATCCGAAGAGGAAGAGGATCATAGTGACCATAAAGACCTGTGGCGTGAGATTGACCGTATTGCAGAGGCTCATCGCATCTTGAATGTTCGCATTGACAACGAACTGGCGCACCTGTCCGCACCTCAGGAAGACAATGATTTCAGTCTAATCCTTGAAGAGATGGAGGCACGCATTAATATTACGGAGCAAAATGCAGAGACTCATTGTTTCTATATCGAAGAGAAACTTACACGTACAATTTCGGAAGAAGTGGCAGCAATCCGGCAGCTTCTGGAGGAGCGTCTGAATGGCATGGAGGACCAGTTTACGAACATGCTGGTGGAAATGAGCAACAGCTCCTTCCCTGGGATGTTTAGTAACTCCATGGATGCCATCCAGACAGAAGTCAACAATAACAAGTTCCTCCTCCAAGGTTTGGATGATAAGGTCAATGCTGTTGGAGAGTTGTGCTCTGCAGGATGTTCTGGCTCAGGAATAAATGTAGGTGCAGTGAGTTCATCGCCAACACCTAAAGGTCTAGAAAGCATATTAAAGGACCTGACTCGGTTCAGGAATGATTTGGACATTCTTCACACTGATGTCAATTCCAACGCGGTGAAGCTCAGGCAACTAGAAGATGTTGTTGGAAGACATTCGGTCACAAATGAACGTCATGTGAAGACGATGGAGGATTTCCAGAAGGGATTGAATAATCTTAAAGATAATGTGCTTGGTCTGGCTGGTGCTGTTACCGGTTTAAGTGACTCCTTAAGCAAATACAACCAGGATATGCACCAAATAAACTCCACATGCTGCCATGCAGAGCAGAGTGGCCCTGGGGGTCGAGGGCGGGACAACTGGGCCTCGGCCGTTGCAGTACCCAGCGTCCAAACAGACAACACCAGACATCAGGTGGAGGAGCTGAAGAACAGTCTTGATACGCTCAGTAGGCAGGTGTCCTCTGAGCTGAGTCAATGCAAACAGAACACACAGGGTGTTTCTGATGGTATCTCCGTTGTCAATGGACGTGTGACCAGACTTGAAAAGGTGTGTGGAAGGCTAGATGGGGTAACCGACAACATCAGAGAGCTGAAAGAGGGACTGGAGAGAAATGTTGGTGGTCTGCGGGACTGTGAGAGCAGGATGAACGCCACCAGTGGAAATCATGGAGGAGAGATCATCGTACTGCAGAACTCCATGCAGAGGCTCCAGGCACAGCTGTCCTCGATGGCCAAACACGTGTTGAAAGACGTCACCGCCAAAGAGCCAGGTGAGCAGACAGTTTTGTTGTGGTTTTATGGAATCGTTGGCTGTGGTAATCGCTTGAGAAGGAAGTGACTAAAATGATCTAAGGGGCCTTGTTGGCTTTAAGTGACACAAACCAGTTGAAGCCAATGAAAGCCACATTCTATTTATCCATACTGTATGTATTCAACGAGCAGATCCCAGAGTGTGGAATCAATTACAGTCAGCTGGCACAAATTATTGGGTTATTATATGAATGTTTAATATGTACAGCATTGGTATTTAGCTGTTATTCTATTTTGGACAGGGAGTTAGACAATAGCGTTCAAAATGTAGACTCAACGCCTACAGTTGGACGCTAAGGTGGAGCTTATGAAAATCTATATGAGTGCAGCAGTTGTGCTGTTGCAGCAATATCAGCAAGGGACAGCTAGCTTTCAGGTGACCAGTGTGACTGCAGACATGGTAGGTAAGGGAGTGGGCAGAGCCTAAAGAAACACATTGAAATTAGTGCACAGCATGTAGGCCTATGTTGCAAAGCGTAGAGTTTGCCATTGAATGGCCACTTTCTTTCTTTATTAGCATTGGCATACACACAGTCGCAACAAACAAAACAGCAAACAAAATTCACACAACATTATAATTATACCACAATTATTTGTGAAGACAAAGCGAACTGGATTAAACATTTAAAAAAAAAAAAAGATTTATAAGACTTATTCCTAATAAACATAAATTATTTTCTGAAGGACCTTAAATTATATATTTATCGATCATTCACATGCATAATTCCAAGAAATAAGATGGTAAGATAAATGGCTCCTTCTCTTCCAAGTGAGATATCACAAGGTTGACTTTTTTTTGCACCATGTTTCATAGTTTACACAATTAAATTATGTTTGGAGAATCTGCTTACTGGACTGATCCTGAACTATGTCGCAGGCGTCACTTAATCAAATAAGCGTATTCACTGTGTTGTTTACGGTTAGATGAGCAGACAGATACCACATTGTTCATTCAATATGAAGCTGAAGCCTGCGCCCAGTTATTTTAGCTTAGTATGAAGTGTTAAAACAGAGGCAAGCAGCTAGCCTTGCTTTATCCAAAGACAACAACAATCTGACCGCCAGCATGTCACCTGTTAATACGTTATGTCTATTCTGTACGTTTTGGTTTAATCTGTCCATAAAACGAAGTAGAAAAGCATAAAGTTGTGGTTTTACTGGTTTAATGTGCACAACTTTTGAAGAGTTTATTCTATAGAGAGACAGGCTAGATATTTTCACCCGTTTCTAATCTTTTTCTAAGCTAAACCAACCTGCTCCTGGCTGTGGCTTCATATTGAATTTCCTCTGACTCCCAGCACGAAAGCAAACAATGATATTTATTACTTCTACCTATAACTGTTCAGTATGGTCGAAAAATATATACCTCATGACAGTAATTAGATATGGATTATTACACAACTTCACCACGAAGAAGTCTATAGACTCCCACATTATAGCCAGTCTCTAAAATGAGTAAATCCACACACTCCTTTGCAGCTTCCTCTCTAACTTCCAGCAAGTTTATCAAGTGTGATTAACATCTGTGTAAACACAAACTTTTCCTGAAGATAATCCTCCATATAATGCGTTCTGCTAGCTTGGCTTACATGGAGGCTTGGAGAGGAGGATCAGATCCCATGAATGGCCACAGGGTATTTCCCTGAGAGGGAGGACACAGGTTCATTGGGCCTCCTTGAATATGTCATTCAATATGTCCCAGCACCAAGAGGCAGAGGCCCACATTGGAAACTTCCTGCGACTTAGACTCATGTTGTCCTAAGAATTCCCCTGTTTTTATATGAGGAATTAAATTCTTAAATGCCGGGGTCAACCCCTCCTAACGGCTGTGATGATTTACAGGCACTGTTTTGAGCCTCATTGCTGCTTTATATAAATGTCAGAACACCAGACTGGTTAATCCACTCCCTTTTATGAACAATTTGAGCTGTGAAGGCTTCTCTCATGCACCGTGACAATGGCTTTTTTACTCATACCACAAAACTGCAGACCTCAAACTCCCATTACACACACACAAACACAGGCTCATACACAATACACCCGCCTCCCTGTCTTTCTCCTTACACATGTACACATACCAGTCTCCAGAGATTCCCGTAGGGTGACCTCAGCCTCATGAGTGGAGTCTGGTCCTCATTAAGGGCCCTGACTCACTGCTGGAGCTAGTCTTGATGGAGAAGTAGAGCTCCACACCCAGGACCAGATGCTCAAGTCTACCCCTCAGCTGTGATGTCATCAGTGGGGCCCCATCGCTGGAGCCTCCCTTTCTCTAACCATTGTCTAAAACAATGGCATGACAGGGACCTAAGGAGAGAAAAGAGGGTGGAGAGGTTAACCAATGTGGTGAAGAGAGACCAATATTTGCCATTGCATTCATTTCCAAACTATTTGATGTGATTTCCCTACATGTAACATTACACCGCACATCTGCCCACGATTAGACCAGATATTCATTTGAGTGAGCATGTTTAAATGCAGGATATTTTAGTTCGTATGCTAATTAGCTTTCTTAGTGAAAGTTAGACGAGTCAGTTGAGTATGTTAAGTATGAAGCTTCTGCAAGGAGCCGGCTAACTTAGCTTAGCATAAAGGCTAGAAAAGGGAAATGACTGCCTGGCTCAAAGGAATACTTCAACCCCAAAACGACATGCATTGTTTCTAAAACCTTACTATTAAATACACTCCCACTTAGATTGTATACCTGCTTAGGCGTCATACTTGTCTGTGTGACGACTGTTGATGTGGAAGTGTGTAAAAATAGTAAGGTTTTAGTGAAAATGCAAGTCATTTTGGTAAGTATGGTTTCAAAACTGATGTTTGATATATTTTTCATAGAAAAACCATGCCCCTGTTTACTTCAATTGTCAATTCTGATTATTTGTTTATTGAGGAGGCTTGCTAGCAAAACAATATTTTATTGAATAGTTTGTAGAAACACAGGATGAGTTATTTAAATACAAATTATAATTTATTTGTGTGAAGTATTCCTTTACATTTTCTGATGAACATGTGATATATTTTCGGTAACATTTCCCCAAGCAAATGTCATTTAAACGTTGTTTTTGTATTACGTTGTGTTGATTACATTAGGAGAGAGCCAGGTTAGCCGTTTCCTCCTGTTTACAGTCTTTCACTGTTCAGACATCTTCTCATCTCGGCAAAGATGAGAAGATGTCTGTACACTACAGTCCTCAAAATGTCAATCTCTTCCTTAAAAGGGCAAGATCATGATGTTCTCTCTCTTTGAGCTCATAGTCTCTATCCTAAATCCCTTGAGAGAGGGAGTTAAATGATGTGGCTGAGGTAGCATGATGATTTATTATTTCCTCAAGTTTTGGAAGGAAAGTCTTAATGCAGATACAAAAGTTGCCAGCTCTTCGGGTGTGGTGGTGGAGCAGCGCCTACTGAAATGTTTCCTCTCCGTTTGAGCTCATAGTTTTTCCTCGGTCATATGAAGACCCCGAGGAGGCCGGGAACACACGAGGTGTTGTAATAACATAGCTGAAAGATTAACAGGAATAGCTTTGCCCTTACTCAATATGACTTGCTGATTGGAAGTGTGTGACTCTAGACCAGTAGCGTAGGCAGAAATGTACTTTAGGGTGGGCCCGTAAAAATAGGGTGGGTCAGATTTTTCTATGGCATCAGAAGCTAACAACAATCCCCGCCGGTATCGGTGGCAGATTACTTTTGGAATACTTTCTTTTTCCATAACAGATGGGTATGTTTTGGTGAACAGGAGACACTTATTTTACTGTTTAATAGCTTATCAAGAACTCAAACACGACATCTTGGTGTAATTCTGGACAGCTCTCTCATCTGTACCCCACATAAAAAACATCACCCGGACTGCATTCTTTGTACGGTCTTAAAACCTTTCCTTAGAATATGTTATGCATTGTAAGGTGTCCTTGGGTGCTTTGAAAGGCGCCCCTAAATAGAATGAATTATCATTATTATTTATTATCTGAAACGATGTAATAACTTTTTTAACTTTTTCCAGTCACTTGCCCCAGGCATTCAGCAGCAGCAGGCCATTCACTTTGATTTCATCCCGTTATAAATGTCATCATTTCGACAATAACGAAATGCTACATAAACGTTATCTTCCACATTTTATCTAACCATCTCCATTTCTAACTTTCAATATATTTTAAAAGAGATCTCTCTCTCATCTGCGTGCGGGGGCGGGGCCTCACAGACACACTGCATCTCTCTTTCTCACAGACATGCTGCAGCGCTGTGCAGTGTGCACACAGTTCTGCCGTTTCTGAGATGCTGTAGTGTTTTGCACTTCAGGGCCACCGTACTACATGGGTGAATACATTTTTTTAATAATAATAATACAAAATAAATAAATTGAAAATTTAAATTGAAAAAAGTTAAAATGACACCGAAGCTTTCTCAGGGTGGGCCAATGAGTAAACTGGGTGGGCCTGGGCCCACACTGGCCCTATGGTGGCTACGCCACTGCTCTAGAGGCAAAAGTGCTGGCACTGCTTCGCCCCAAAGCAGCTGCTGCAGTGGAGGTCTGACGCTACAGCTTGCGTGTTTGTTTCTGCTTGTTTTCCTTAGAAAAGGGAGTTGTGGTTAAGCAGCAGGGACTAATTGCATTGTTAAAAACTTAAACAGAGATACATTAAAATGACTTTAATACTCTGCAGGTGGGGCTTTAAGGCATTCAAGTGTACAGAATTAATAGGGATTATTAGGAAACGTCAACATAAGTGAAATCATGATAATAAAATAGGAAATGCTTTGCTTTTCAAAGAGTTTGAGCATGCTGTTCCTCATTCAGGCGGGGACCTATTCACTTTCTTGTGCTCAATTTTCGTATTTGATTCTCAAGATGTTATTTTTTCTCTACTCCTCCTTGTTTTGGAGGTGATCCCAGTCGAGCTCAAATCTCTTCCCGGTTTCTTCCTCTCTCCCGCTTATCTCTGAACTGCTCTCCTTCAACTCCCTCGTCGCTCTTCTGTCCAGTTTATTTTCTTCCGATTTGTCCTTCCAAGAATGCCAGAGGACTCCTTTTCCTCCTCTCCCTCCATCTTGTCCTGTCTATCAACAGACGAGGTCTTCAGAAAAGGAAACAAAACCAATCGAGGACAAAATTAAGGCTTTGATTTCATGGATCAATGCTTTGCAATTGATCATTCTGGCTTTCTATAGAAAAGACAGGCAGTAAGATTAATTGTCCACCGTGATCAGGGAGTACAAGAAAAACAAGATATCAAAGGCTTTTTGAAGCCAAAGGCTGTCTGCTGGAAAATAATGGAAAATTGAACTTGACACCACCCACAAACACACACTGTATATATTCAGTCCGCACCAGGATTTGCGAGGCGCTGCAGCACGAGATCTGTAGGGCCTCGACGTGAGGTGTTTCCATCTCTGACCCTTGAGCCCATCTGGAAGTCTTCAGAGGAGAAAGGACCCAGATACACAATGGGAGTCCCCAAAGTCTGCCAGGCGGTGCACAATTTCCACCTCCCATCATTAATATCACTGCAGCAAAATGAGGTGGAGGATGAAATTGTGTCCATGTGCGTAGGAGAAAAAAAAGTATGTTCAGAGTGTGAGTGATGCATTAATGGTACCACACCCTGCTCTGTGCCCCTTGACACCGTTTTCCATCGCATGATCAGCCTGTCTGCTGCAATATTCCTCCACGCTTTCAGACACTTTTGCACTGTCACCCCAATGTGTGGAGGCAACAGTGACTACAGCATCCCTCCCCCAGCTGTGTTTCAATCAGCTTTTGACCAACAACATCTGGTTTTGGTGAGGCTTTTGGTTGCACCAGCACTGGTTTGCATGTGTTTCCACCCCCCCCCATCTGTGTGTTTTTGTGGTTGCCCCCTTAGTGAGACACAGGCTGAGAGCTCATGGGAAATATGCACTCAGGCAACCGACGTCCTGAAGGAAGGGAGGAAATGAGGAAGAGATTTCTGATTATCTCAGTACAACATGATTGCTGGGTTTAATTTGTTTTTGATTATACATGTGGTTTCTGAGTGGCTTGTAGTATCACTTTCAGTAAGAAGGAGTCATTTTGTTGATAATTGATGATGTTTTATTTGATAAGAACAGAGTGGCTTTCATAATCCGGAGTAATAGGCAGACACGAATGTAATACCATCGCTGCAGGTAATTCCATTCATCACTTCGCCACAGTACAAGTTTGAATGTGGAGTTAACTTTTATTAATCGTAATGTTATTGGCTGTGGCAGAACTCACACACATTATTATATTACTTTGTTTCAAAGAGTTAAAAAGTAATTAAATGAATGTTCATTCCTGACCTTGGGAACAGTACTATGTCTAAGGTAGTTCGGATATTTTGAAGTGGGGTTGTGTGAGGTATACTTATGTTATAGTCAGTGCATAGAGATGTCCGAAAACCATAGTTCGGAAATAAAGACAAGGAGCAAAATCATTTATATCAGTCTAATTGAACGCTTTATTTATTTTTCCATACTGGGGATCTGCCAACCGCTATCTACTTGAGTTAATACACTGACTATTGATATATCCCCCACTTCAAAGTATCTTGGGTTTTGTGTTCTTTATCAGTAGATGAGGATACAGAGAAAAGTCTCACAATGAAACACGGTTGAAATCACCATGAAAAAGTAGACCTCAATATTAATAAGTCAAAGTACCCTGCAGAGTTTTCTTGTAATAAAACAATGTTGTGTTTACATTAGGTGCCATACATTAACATATCTATACATTATCCTTGAGGGCCAACATAGTTTTAAAAAAGTTTTCCCCATAAAAGCCACATTTAGAGGCAGCTACATTCACTCATGCTTCAGCCTCCATGGAATGGACTATTGTAAAAACAGCTGATCATATCAGCTGACCAGCAACATCCAATCATATTCACACAGATGTCTCAGTTGACTTTATACCATAGCTTTATACCAGACACCTCTATGCCACTTATACCTTCATATCTACAGCCCCCTTTAACCTTACGTATTAAAGATTTTTGATATATTTTCTTAAGATTAACATTCGTAAGTTAACAGTTATCTCTAAATTCTGTTTATATTAGATAATTTACTTGTTGTATCCCTTGAATAATCTGTGTTGTTTGTATTCTTTGAGCACTTCCTCGAAGATCAGAGCCTTTTTCTGCCAAATCTGGCTGTATAACCATTTGGGTTAAGTGGTCATGTCCTTAATGTAAGCACTTTGGCTGAGTGACATTACAGTAATCCTGTTGCATGTACTCCAACCCCCCCACAGGGTTTGCACAGCACTGCAGACACAGCTACATCAAACAAGCCTTTTTATGTAGAAACCTCATGACTAAATTCTAAATATGGCTGGACAAAATCTGCCTGACACCTGGGTTTAAGACACAAAGCGGGTAGTGTAATTATTTTTGTTATTTGTCCCCAGGACAGTCTCCCAGCGTCTCTCGCTCCCCTCGGAGGCCCAGATGATGTCTGCGCCCCCGGGGGGTCTGGCAGGCAGCCAATCGGTTTCCGTTCAGATGGTTCTCGTTGCTTAAAACTCACACAGCCCGCCTGCTTTGCTTTTATGAAGGGTAATAATGATACCAGCTGAAAAAAAACACTCAGAGGTGCCGTGAAAGCCAGGTCAAATTTGGCCTGTCATCAGAATTCAAGTCGTTAAAGGAGAATTCACAAGAGAAGGGAGGGATGTGAGAGAGGAAGTGGGATTTGTAAACAACCGAAGTTAATTGAAGGCTAGTGCCTGCAGTTACAGCCCTTTCTATAACTCTCAATTCTTGTGACCAGATGGTGTAACAGTATGGTTTATGGTCAGAAAATGAACCGTAATCATTGCCTCCACCAAGAAGGCGGTGTTGTTTTTAGCTGGTTTGTTGTTTCTTTGTCTGCCTGTCAGTAGGATTACATCAAAACTACCTGCCTGATTTTCATGAAACTTGGTGAAAGATTGTATTGTTGGCCAAGTAAGAACCCATTGAATTGTGGAACAGATCTAAATCACGAGGCAGTTACAAATATATTATTTTCTCCCAGTGCCCTTCTATTTTGACATACTTACGATCTTGCCACTCTGTCATTTTCTTTTTCTTTCTAAGGAATGACCTTAAGACCAGAGAGGCCGGCTCTTCAGCCAGATTCAACCAGGACCAGAATCCAACAAATCCACATCCCTCTCATCATCCCGCCGCAGCCGTCCAACCCCAGACAGCCGCTGCAGCCCAACAGGCACACGATACATATCAGCCCGCCCATCCACCCGTCCAGCCCCCGGCAGCCCGGCGGACCGCCCGTCCCCCCCCTGGTCCCTGTCCGGCCGGTGGTGGAGACGGGCGAGGCCGGACCCCCGGGGTACAGCCGCAGGGTGACGGTCCGCAGAGAGTCTGAGGACTCGTCCAACGTGCCCGTCAACGGATTTGCTGGAGCACCAGGTGAGGACTGAGGGTGGGGATTATCTGCAGCTCAATATGAATGTGTTTTTATGAGTTGTATAAGTATTTGTAAACACCACACAAATATGCTTTAAGTCTAGTTTTAGTTCCACTAAAAACCACACGGATCAATGGCAGAACACCTGATTTAGTAATGCTTTAAATGAATTTACAGTGCATATAAAAATGAGGACATGCAGTACCTAATGGTATGTACGAGGGGAAATGGACAGAGAATAAAAGGGTCACAAAATAAATAAATTACCTGCTACAACACTTAATAATAATAATAATAATAATAATGATAATAACAGGCTTGCCCTTTACGTCCTTTCACAATAGCAATGTCATGAAAAGAAGCCAGACTAATAACACTTAAACATTCACTTAGTAAATATTAAATATAATGTATTGACTTGTAATGCATACTTGCACAAAGAGGGAGAACCCTGCCACACTCATATTCACACCGTATCATCTGTAATAAACCACAGCGATTTTTGTGAGTGAAATTGAGTGCACTTTGCAAGATTATAAATGTGTTATCTTATAATCTTAGGAAAGTCATTCCAGGTTATTCTCGTATATATATCGTGTTTTGATTATCTGATGGATCCTACATTAGGTCTCAAAACTCATTTTATCATCATACAAAAACTTAAACCTGCAGTATGCAGCCTTACATCTTCTGTTGACAATGCAATCCTTCCCAAGTTGGTCGATTTGTTTTCGCAGTATGTTTTAGAGCCATAATGATACATCTTCAGATTTATTTAGGGAAGCCTGGGAGAAAGGATTGGGAGCTGAAATCACAGACGAGATGTGTCTGGAGGCTTGTAGTGAGAATATTCACGATATTCAATCAATGCAAGACATCATTTGATACCATTCAAGGTCGTCATCAGTCTCAATAACCTTTTTTGCTAGGGCTTTTAACAGGGTATTTAATCAAGCACTCTTTAGGGCGTGGTTTCATGCGTTACAATGTCCAGAGTCTGTAATCTAACTCCTTTATCCAGATCTGATGTCTACTTGTTTGAATGAATTGATGCTAAAACTAGAATATGTCATTACTTCCATGACAAGGAGGATATTTTCTGACGCAGTGTGATCATTCTGGCACCATGGAGTTGAGTCTCAGCCAGCATTACCACATGTGTGACATAATATATGTCTCTTCCTCTTGTCAACAGTGCTGTCACTTCACAGTCACATCAGATATGCTCATTGAAACTGCGTCAGCAATGACAACAATTGGAATCGGGCCATTTTTCACATATGGAACTTATAAAAGAGGTTTAATTATCCGTGTACTTTTTTTTGTTTTTGTGTCATCCATGAATGCTAAAGTCTTTTACTGGGGCCAACCGATACTCACAGAGCCAGATCTGGTTTGAATTAGCGGAACTGCAGATAATGATTAGGAGATAATATCAAACAATGTAACGCATGGCTCTGATTTATCCTCAGTGTGTAAAAGAATAGAGAGAAGATTTGAAATACACAATTTAAAAATGTGTTGGTTAAGAATCTTAATCTGAGAACTGAACTTGGAAATTCATGCAAATCTTCACGAGTCATGAACGTTTTAACTTTTTCAGCATTGAAAGGCAGGTTTTCATACAATCTATTCTGTACAGGGCTGTAAACTGTTGTTTGTTTAATGTCTGTTTAGTGGTTGTTGGTTTTGTTTGGACCTCAAACAGCACATTCATTTCAAGCCTCGGAGGAAACTGTAGGGACCGTATCTGCTTATCTCATTGCCCTGGAAAGCAGCTAAATCAACATCAAAATGATTCAAAAAGCCACAAATAAAACCAAAATAATGCAGTCGAGCTTACAACCTGTTTTTATTTCTAATGTACACCTCTGCAACTCTATGCCACATTGTTTTCTCATTAATGTTGGGATGGAAAACCAAACCACTCCCTCTGGCCAGCACTCCCTAGCGTCATTTATTTCTTTTGCAGGCTATCCTCCTCTGCAGCCTGCATCTTTCAAGCCTCAATCAGACAGCCGCCAAGGTAACGTACTGTAGCAGTTAATCATCAAGTTACAACCCTTTGCCTTTCTACTACACCGGTGCAAGACAAATTGGAAAAGGTGGTGAATAATATGTAGCCTGAGAGTGTGGGTGAGTGGGAACTGGATGTGTTTGCTTTAAGGAGATGTGGGTGGACTGAGGAAGGATTTTAGCTCGTCTTCCTCTGTAGCGATGCATGGCAAATATTACATTTGGTAATGATGAAGAAAGTTACTGAAGTAGGGAACAGCTAAAGTCACTGAAACAAAGGTCTTTTTTTCTTTTCAGCTACTGACTAAAAAAAGCAAACAAAAACACTCAATGGAATACAGTGGTTCTATTTTTGAAACATAATAATAGACTAATTTTAATGAAAGATATATAAAGATTTTTTATATACACTTTTATTTGTTTGTAGTTCCTGTAGCTGCAAAGATGCCCTGGAACCCGATGCAACACACTCCCGTTATATCACCAGGTAAAATACACTCCTCTCAATAAGTCACTGCATCGATAAAGAAAAAGTAAACAAATTATTAGCTCAAATAAAGGATTTGTGAATGAATTAAAAGCTAACTGTTGTGATACTATAACCACTGTAGCACTATCAGACAATACTTAACCGATCATCTGAACATTAATCACAAAGTATGATTATTTGTATGATGTATTGTCTTTAGTTTTGTATGATACAGTGATTATTCTCTGTACACATGTCCGGATAATAACATTTGATGCCAACATTATTTTGTTGATTTGCCTACCTTAGTCTATTTACCCTACAATAAACAGATAATATCACGTCTTTTTTTTCAGTGACTGTATAAAAAGTGAGTAATGTATCTTTGAAATGAGACAAAGATTGACTCGCATGCATTTGCTTGTATCAGTTTCGGCCCCCAGCAGTGGCTTTGAGGAGCCCTTCTCCTTCTCTGCCGGCCTCACACAGCAGCCGCTCATTGGAGAGTTCGGCTTCATCCGCTTCAACAGAGTCATCGTCAATGATGGAGGACACTACAATCCACACACAGGTACACAACAACAACTAGAAAAATGTGTCATTATAATACTTTGCATGGATATGTTGGGTACATGTCAGACCAACAAACAATCCAATTGCATATCACATCAATTCTGTTGCTTTGTCTTCAACATTTGTGTTGTCTTTAGTTTATGATAAGAGATTTTCTTCAGTTACACAGCTCTTAATTTCAACAGGTTTTAGTTCAATTGTCTTTTGGATTGATTAAGTGTAATTTCTGTAATTGAATGAAATGAGGTTCATCAGTCAGTTAATACAATCAAATGTTACAAAAAATCAAGAGGATATCTTTCGAGTTTGATGTCAAAGAAATGTGCTCATACAAAAAGTACTTTGGAAGACTTCTACTTGATTTGACTAATCATAAAAAATCCTGCGATAAACCTTTGAGTACATATTTTTAAGGGATAAGGACTGGATTTGTTCCCTATCTTTACAAAGTGAAGGCCATTAGTCTGTGCCAAAAACTGTGCCCAAAGACTAACTGTAGTACTGTGAAATTGCGGTTTACAATAAGCACATTAAAGTATTTGGTAACTTTAAATCATAAACAAGTTGAATATCAAAGATAAGCTCACATGTGCAGGTACTTAGTGAAGCCAATTTAAGCATTTAAAAAATAAACCTGATTTGGAATTCTTGTTAAAAGTGTGAATTTTCACATTATCTAAAAACTGGTAGATATTTGCCCCGAGGTGTATACAATCATATACAAAATCAATTAGTTATTTTCCTTACCATACTAAATATAGGCTACTCTCTGGACACATGAACATGAGAGATAATGACACAAAGCAACATCTGTTTCAATGTTCATGTGCACCTGACTATTGTTTTAATAAATCTTTGACTAACTGTTTAACCTCATTCACTTCATGCTGAAAAACAGGACGCACAGTAACAACAAACATTAGTCAACATGTGACTCACGCATTGATCTCGCCCCTTCTCTCCTCTGCAGGGATCTTCACCGCCCCTCTGGACGGCCGATACCTGATCTCAGGCCTGCTGACGGCGCAGCGGGGGGACCGGGTGGAGGCCGTTCTGTCCGTGTCTAACCGCAGGGTGCAGCGGCTGCAGAGCTCTGCAGGTCCCGGCCAACACGGGGCCCCCCCGACTGGAGACTGTGGCTGCGGGGGGTCCGTGTCCTTCAGCGTGATCCTGCCTCTGAGGAAAGGAGACCGTGTCGGCGTCGTGAGGACCGGGGGCCGGCTGGCCACCACCGGGGCCCGGGAGACCCTCTCCACCTTCAGTGCCATCTTCCTCTACGCACCGCAGCACAAGTCATAGCTGCAGCTCAGCTGGGCCGAAACAGCAAGGACCAGTTTGATCCCATAAGGACTGGAGGAAATAAATGACGAGAGGAAGCAGAGTTTTTTCACTGATTTGCTGTGATTTACCACGCAGAGCCGCTGTGTGAAGATCCTCACTTATAAGTTCAGTTAGGAAGTCATTACATTGCATTTTGTAAGCCATTTGCCAGATATACCTGAAAACAAGAAGCAGGATTTGTTTCTAATATATTTGAAGTTGCCTTTTTGTACCTATTGTGAATGTCTTGTGTAAATAAGTGTTTATAAATTAACATAACAAATAATAAAATGTTATTTTAACAAAACCTTCTCACAGTCTTAATATACAGTATGCTTAACCTATCAGCTGAAAATCATGCTGTAGGGTAGGCAAACCATGACTACACATGTTTTTTATTAAAGGGGCCCTATTATGCTTTTTGGAGTTTCCCCTTTCCTGTAGTGTGTTATATAGTATAGGCTTTTGTGCATGTGAATGGTCTGCAAAGGCTACAATCCCAAAGTTCCCCCCCCCCCCTCCCTGCCTGCAACGCCTCCATTAGACTCCTTTGTTTACTTCTGCGCCATACTGACATCATAATGTAACACTGGTGCTTCTATTGGCTAGCTCTCCAACATAATGTACGTGATAGGCTAGTGACATCTCAAGACCAAACACAACAGAGCCGGCCAGCTAACCAATCAGAGCAGACTGAGTTCTGGTTTCAGACAGAGGGTGAGAAGAGGTGCTGCCGCACAGGCAGTATGAGAAAAATAAAAAGCTTTTTGAACATTAAAGCATGGAGACATGTCCCAGTAGAAGCAGAAAATACAAATATGAACCTGGACATGAGCATCATAGGTCCTCTTTAATCTAAGAAACTTTGCTGGCTTCAGAAACAGCACTGAGAAAAAATGAGAACCCCCATTTGGGTCATTATGTAAAGTGGGTTAGGATGAAAAATACATTTCCCCTCACCTCACTCCTGAGACTTAAAATATTCCAACACAGCAAACTGTAAGCAGCAGCAGTTCAGATCAGCCTCTGTTAACCTTTAAGGAGAAAAACACTCATTTCTATTCGCAGTAAAACAGAAATGTTTTTGGTTGTGTTATTCAATAAAGCAAATGTGGAATTACCTGAGGTATTAAAGCATTGATATTAACACATGAGCTACAAGGTCAAAGTGAAATCTCTAGCCTCTGGTTATTGTTGATCCTTTCATGGAGACAATAAAAGTGGGTCAAACATTAAAGTATTCAGTTAGAAACTTTATTTTAATACAAATATGACCACAAGCCACACTCTGTTAGCTTAATTAGGCCTGAACATTTTTTCGTCTAACAATGTATTTTGTTCTTTAAACATACTTTTAACCACATTTTATACAAATCAAACACAGCATACACTTAAGGTATTCCTGTTGGTCAGACACAATCAAAATAGCAAGCGTTACCTTCAAATAGAAAGAAACAAACAGAAAGATCATACACTTTATAAGAAATAATAAAATCTAGAAGAAAAAGGCATCGAAGACAGAAGAATGTGATGATCAGCATATCTGGATACTTTTCCACAGCAGTCGAGTGAGAACAAACAATATTATTTATACCACGTATCCCAGGATCATAGAGGATGAAGTGTGATTCTTCCACACAAGATGCTTTACTTTCATAGAAAGAATGGAATTCATTTTGTTAATCATAAGATATATATCTATTTGACTTCACCAAACTTCGAAGAGAACAAGTAAATAAATCAAAACACGCATCTTAATCATCACAAAAACATCTGCGCGACAGCGTGAAAACACTTCAGCCAAATAATGACGGTAATAGTGGATGTAGCCATGATGCTAACTTGTGCTTTTGTTAAGTCTCAGTCAGACTCTCTTTTAATGTTGAATCCTCACTAGCACATATTATCATGGGACTGTTACACTTGTGCTGGAGGTATGATGCATGTCAGTGGAGCGGCACATCTGCACACATCTCTGTTCCTACGACACACACACATAATGCCAGTGAAGCACTTTCAGAACGCTTCCTCAAGTATTTCCTGTTTACCTCCCAACAAGACCCAAAGGCTCTTCCTCTGCTACCAGAGGCACGGGATCAGTCAATAGTCCTACACACAGACACACACACCCCCAATAGGGCTGGAACAGTTATTTTCATTATCGACAAATCTGCCCACTATTTTCACGATTAATCACTTGGTAAAATGTTGGGAAAAATACAAATATTGCATCATTTTTTTTTCAAAGACCGATGTGAAGTCTGGTCCTGTCAGTCACAAACCAAAATATATTTAATATAAAATAAAACTGAGATAATCCAGAAATGTCCTTATTTTAGAGGCTGAAAACAACATTTGACTAACGATTAATCAATGAAAAATAGTATGCGATAATCCGAAAAGTACGTGTTTTTTCCCTGTCAACCAATCACTGCAGCTCTAACACACTTATACACACTTTGCACAGCTCCCTAATTGAACATTATTTGGTTTTTCATCCCCTCTTCTTGCTTTGAAGCCTTCAAATCCCCTTTCAACATTCCTCATATTGACATTCTGAAAAACTGATATTCTGTCTGTCGAGACCCTTCAGTGAAGTGCATGCGGGTCAGAGGTGCAGCTTAGACAAAGTGCGTTGGGTACATCTTAGTAAAGCCACTGAGGGAACAAAGGAGGATTGCATCATGTCAGTCACCCCAACAGCAGCACAACTCAGTGATTAGAAACACACACACACACATCTTCCCATCGTCATCCTACAGAGGACCTCGCCCAAGGGTAAATCCTTCATGTTAAGCCCTCTCTCCAGATATGCTTATTTCAACTCAAGCGTTATCTTTTCTTTCACACACATATTTGAACACTAAAGCTGCGGATTCTGAGATCTTCTGAGGAATGTGTCTGTTCCTTAGGATGTTGGAAGTTTCAATGTAAAACAAGGAATACAGATCGTTGTGAAAATAGGATACAAGGCAAAAAAAGAAACCATACAAGGCCGAGCAGTTACTGTTAAGTGCATGTTAACCAATGACCAACCATACAAAGTAGCATTTTGAAGTATTTCCACATTGCATTGGTAATAAATTACTTTTTCAGACAAGCAAAGGCATCACGATAGAAATCAATAACTTAAACATACCAATTATTATAAATAATGACTGCATTGTTAACAAAACACACTTGATTTCGCCAGAGCTTGTAGAACAGAATAATCATATTAAAATAACAGCTACACAAAATACAATGAGTTCCTTCATCTAACTGTGTATCTTCACATACTTGTTGGCAAAAATGTACCCCTGGTATGACCTTGAATATTAACGGTAACAAACATGACTCAGTAGCTATGAACGTGGTAAGTTCTGCAGGTAAAGTGGTGATCAGCAAACTAATGAACAGATCCAGAGTCAGCAACCAAACTGAACACCTACACAGAGAAAGGAACTGCGGTGTATGGCTCACATAACCCTTACATTTGTCTCCTACAACATAACATTCCTGTACAATTAAACTGCATTCCCAGTTGTGTTTTTGAAGAAACATATTTTTCTCAGTGACAAAGTTTTAACTTTTTGTAAATTTAAACAAACCAGACTTGGTTTTGTTCAAAAAGAGATCACGGTTTGGCTTGTTGTTGTGGTTATTGAAGTAAAGTAGGAAAAAGGTCAACATAGACTTTTAGTATCACATGGTTAACAAACAACCGTGGGGGTCAATCCTATAATTGACCAACTCATTTATATGCAAACTTCTGAAGACTTTGATTAGAAACATATTTGTTCCAGGTCAAAAACAAATGTACATAATTGGCATTGCACTTTCATATGGAAACATCATTTTTGAGACAAGGCGTGGTTCATAGGTGGTGAAGCAGGGATTCAATACTTTATGTTTTAGAACAGAGAAAGGACTGGAGACCTGTGTCGATGCAAACATAGCAGCCACAGCTAAATATTACCAGCATATAACTAGTGGCCAGTGTTTATTGCCTACCCTGTGCGTCTTCTTTGCTTTGAACATATCACTTGGCTTAGTCAGGGCATTCAGGACATGTACAAAATCGTGATTCGAGAAAGATGTATTTTCCTTCTGCAGAGTGCCGACTCTAGTGCTGAAAGCTAATGCCTCGTGTGGGGCTTCAGTCGGTTCCTGATGGGAAGTGCAGACCATCCTGTTTATAGGAGTTACAGAGAACAAAGATTATGCTCAGATCTTTATCGCTGCACTTTGACGGGGAGGACAGATCTCTCGCTGGGTTCGGATGTCTTCAATTAGATGACCATCTTCTCTCAGGATTTGTCTCTCGTCTGCTAGGGATGAAAGTTCTCAGGGATTATTCATCAGGATTTACTGTTCTTGAGAAAACTTCCAGTTATCTCTAATGGGTGATTACTGTTTAACAGCTAGTTTGTGTTAATGGTCATAACCCTGTGTGTGTGTGTGTGTGTGTGTGTGTGTGTGTGTGTGTGTGTGTGTGTGTGTGTGTGTGTGTGTGTGTGTGTGTGTGTGTGTGTGTGTGTGTGTGTGTGTGTGTGTGTGTGTGTGTGCGCGCGAGATGCAGGAGAGTTTGTGTTTCAGTCCACGTGTCTCCTGGCGATGCATTCAAGTGCACAGTCTATTTGCATGTATATGGGCACCTGGATCTCCATAGTGCCGGATTAGACCAGTTCCTCGGGGTCGATGTCGGCTATGGGCTGTCTCCAGTAGCAGAAAGAGCTGTACTCCGGCAGCACAAAGGCTTCGTTCTGCTCTTTACTCAGCAGAGGGAACACGTGCTCCACCAGCTCACTCAGCCTGCTGTAACTGTGGGGGAGACAAGAAGAGTGAAGATAGAGACAGAACAAAAATGATTCAAAGCCTCCGTTTTGTCGGACTTCCCGTTATCAACATATATGAAATACAGACCTACACACATCCTTAAATCTACATCTATATGTAAATCTTAAAAGCTATTTTAAAACATGTATATGTGTTGAGAAATAGATGAATAGAGAAATCTGGAACACATTTTGAGCTTGTTAGAAATCAAGCAAAGTATGATATTACTGAAAAACCTCCATAAAGCTCAGAAGAAAGTGAGAGAATACCTTTCTGTGTGATGTGAACATCGCAGTGAGGAACCCTCACAGTTAGAATAAAACCATTGAATAATGCAACTTTAATGACGGATTTCTATCTCCTAAAACTTTTCATTGGGTGGATTTTTTCTTCAGATATATATACACTACAATTAATGCAAGCACTTTTACAATTGTAGTACTTATTCTAATGGTACCAATGTCTTATTTGTACTATAACCACCTAATGAGACAGGCAGTAAATGTCAGGTCATGCACTCACGAGGACTTGTTGCCCTTGGTCTGCTCCTGGATCAGCTCTCCCTTGGGGTTGACAGTGAAGATCCTACACACTGGGACTCCCACCTCCTTATAGGCAAACACATCCTGAAGGAGAAAAAGGAGTGAAAGCTTACATCTCTAATCCAAAATGTAAATAAAACGCAAACAATCTGCTGAATTGTTCTCTGGGATAAAAGGATGTGAAAGCAGCTCATTTTAATATGCTTAAAAATGAGCAACCAGGCCTTCAAAAGCCATCTGACGTGATGTTATTTTCAGAAAGTAGCTCATACAACACAAACTGGGGACAAACTGACAGGTGTGTTGAATAACATGAAGCACAGATTTGTGTTCCACCTAACACACGTAATGGCAATATTTCTATGCTGAAGTGAAAGACTGTGTTTGTTGGTTTTCTTTGGCGAGCGTTAGAGACAGAGGGTCTGATGGCCGACGCAGTGCTTCATCTGGGTGTTGGTGTTTGTGCAGCTGAAGATGGTGGGCTGTGCCCGGCGGGAGCTCTCTCTCCACAGACGGTGCCTCATGGGACCAAACTCCGCCAGTGACCTCAGCCCAGGTTCAGCCCAGGACTGATTTCATATGTTTGTGTCTCTAATTGATAGCCAACGTGTCATGTTGATATTGCAAATACATCACGTCTGCCTAGACTTCTGGAAAAAAACACGGCTCTTTGACATGTAAAAGCGTTAATGTCTGGGAGTCTGACATCTTCAAACACTCATTAACTCACATTAGCTCGATTCCCAAAGGCGGCGTGGAATGGCTGCTTGTTATGCTGGAACAGGTTCTTGATATCTGTAAGGCATTCAATCTTGAAGATCTCTGGTTTCTTCTCAATCACCTCCCTGCAGGAAACAGACAGTTTGATTAGAGCGACTCATACGCACGTCCTTACTGTGGGTTAAGTCTGAACAAGAGTTAACTTTGGTAAATACACGTTCGGTTTCTCCCAATCCTTTTTTCTTTAGATAATGGATTGTCTATGTCTGTGTTTCAAATGTATTGGTAGTACTATCAGTCAATACCAGGGTTTCCCACACATAGACTATACTTGGGCGGGCCGCCCAGGTATATTAACGGCCGCCTAAGTATATTTCGCGACCCATTTAGGTTTGTTTAAATAATTTTTTTTTTGTATTCGTCCGTGACCATGACGCCATCTGCGATCGATTAACTTGTGGACAATGATCCCTCGCTCCCTTGCTCTGATCTCGCCTCCTTCTGGCCTGTTAAGTGGCCTGCCTCACACAGGGTGACTGGCCGTCTACATGATGTGGCCTGCCGACATGGCCACTGTCATACAGATCATAAATCAAAGCCCTTGATTGGTCTCTGTGTGTCATTCAAGCTCGGGATAACCTCAGCTCAGGTGAGGTAAAGGACTCTCTGAGTGTTTAGATAGTTAACTTAGTCTAAGTTCTCAGTGGGTCTCAAACGGTGTGGTCACCATTTATGTAAACACATATTTCCATTTGAGAGGGTAGTGATTGGTCTAATGGAGAGTGAGGTGGGCTGAAGATCGGAAGGCTGTGAGTTCAAATCCCGCCAGGAACACCACCACTAGTGTGCCCTTGAGTAAGGCACTTAGCCCTTAGTTACTCCAGGGAGAATGTCCCTGTAATCGGTCATTATAAGTCGCTTTGGATAAAAGCGTCAGCTAAATGAAATGTAATGTGATTAGTAAAATATGCATGAATAAATAAATAAAAAGTTAACTAGGTGAAAAAAGGTAAGATACACTTTTTTTTTTACTATTAGTCAATACGCATGACACTTGTAACACATTTTCCATCCTGGGAGAGGGATCCCTCCCCTTTGGTTTCTGCGGTTTCTCCCATCTTTTCCACATTAACTGTGGGGTTTTTCTTTGTATACTGCAAGGGTATTTTAAGATTATAATTAGCTTTAAGAGGAGGTATACATGTGAAATACACAAATCAAATCAGTTAAAATAATTCATTTGATTAGTTCACTTTAATTACACCCATCTGTTTATCTTTTATGTAGTCAGTTCTACAAAACTAGCCTAGATTTCGATTAAGTCCAGACGCCCAGTAACAGATGCTCTGCTTCACTTGGCATTCACTCCTTGTCTCTGAATTTGAAAAAATATATCTGAGACAACTTCTCTTGATGGAATACAGCACTCTGTAAATGAGGTATGGAGGTCCAAATGCTAGGATGGTAGGGAGGTCTCTGTTATATGGAAATTAAATTGAGGAGGGCATGTCAATAATGCAAATAAGTGCAACTAAGACATACAACTCCACATGCTGTAGGTTGCCATTGTGACACAGTAACCATGATGTACACGGTAAAGGTCAACGAGGAATCCCACTGAAACGATGTAAGATACAGATATAAGATGTACGTTTGTTTACTTTGCTGACCTTTGACACAGCATGAGTACAGCACACCCGCTTTGGTTATGTTCCATTCATGATGATGTCAAGGGGCCCATAACAAGGCCTGTATCATTGTGTGTGTGTGTGTGTGTGTGTGTGTGTGTGTGTGTGTGTGTGTGTGTGTGTGTGTGTGCATTCGGTATTCAAGCCAGAGGATAGCAGATGGGCACTTTTATTCAGTGAATGACAATCATGCACGTGCAAAGCTACATCTGCCACCTTATGCGTAGTGTTATGGTATTTTAATTAAATTGACATCAACACATTTTATCACATAAAATGTTGTTATATTCTGAGATATATTTTTGGCATAATCTCCTAGATAATTTGTGCTATTAACCCTGGAACCGCCATCGGGTCAATTTGACCCACAGCTGTTTTTTTTATCGTATGTAACTTTTTTTCAATAAAATATTAAAGTCTCCCAGTCTGTGACTTTCCCTGAAAGTGTGTTATGTAGTAGCACCCTATGTTGTTAAAACTTGTCAATATGAAGTCAGATTGAAGACATCGCCAAAAAAAATTGCCATTTATACCTATTTCCGCCATTGGGTCATATTGACCCCACCCCTTTTCGCACTATTGATTTTGTGTGTAAACATAAACATGACGTGTTGCTATAGCAACTCCTTTTGTCTACTGCGGTTCCTTATAGATTGAGAGATAGATTGAGAGAGAGAGAGAGATAGATATATTGATAGATATTGATAGCGACAGTCTGTAGTGAAGGAGCGCGCTCCCGCTCACGGGAGACTGCTCGCGCTGCGCTCTGCAGCAAACAGCTGTTTGCTTTTCACCCAACAACTCAACCGCCTCACGAAACGTGCTTCTGGGCCAGCAGGCCATTTATAATGTCAAGCCCTGTTAATATCATATGAAAAGCTGAGAGTCCACAGATTCTATTGGTATACGTTTCATCCCTGTGCGATCAAAACTCACTGTTCAATAAAAGAACATTTTACCTTGAAAATCAATGCATTCTAATAGCGGGTCAATTTGACCCGGTGGCGATTTTAGGTATACAAAAACCTCTGGCGGTTCTAGTGTTAACACAAAAATTATTTCTTTGAGGTACAGTACCACTATCAGTTGTTATTCCCAGCTAGATGCTAGTCTTAATAAACATGTCAATTGTCCATCAAGGGCATTGCATGGCGGCTGTCTCCGTCTGTGAGGACAAAACTCTCAACAGTGTAAAGCCGACGCTGGAAACCAGAAATAAAGATTTAAAAAGGAAGTGAAGGCATAACAAGAAGATTCTGAACATGAATATCTTACTAGGGGCTGATGGCAAGGTTACCGACACGGTTAACACCTTCTGAGCTTCACATTCAGTTTGAGTTTTCTGTGGCCTTAACACCTCCGGCTTATTATAATGAATAAGGATTTAGAGAAGATTTGGAGTCTGAGAAACTTAATATGAAAGTGAGTTTGCTGACAAAAAGCATTGCACTCTGAAAGTGAGGATTTGTAATAAGGGGGATTTAATGTATGAGATGACTTCAGGATAAGACAGATCTTTCTTAATGAAACTGAAACTGGTAGTCATTAATACTGAATGCTCTCGTACCTGTGGAAGGCGGAGAAGAGGCTGCTGGGAGACAGCATGAGGGGTCCCCGGGGGAGAATGGTGCCTCCGTCATTGACCCACTGCAGGTAACCTCGTGTCATGTCCGCCATGCCGATAGCTCGCGCTGAGCAGTACAGGAACTTGTAGCCGTTCCTGTCAATTAGGAGACGGTGCTCATTAACACTTGTTCACATACAGCTCAATATCACAACCATCATTAGCCATTGCTAAGAATAGCACTTTAATAAGATCACATGCTTTCATAATGTGCTGCTGGTGTCATACTGTACCATCGATCCATTAGCTATTCCAGCTGATTGCCATTAGACAACTACTTTCCGTAAAATCTCCAGGACAGTCCAGATCGGGAATTTAGCACAATTTAATTAAAAAATCGAACATTTTAATAGTGGACTTTCTCTATGAATATATATGAATTTGAATGATACTTCTGGCAGAACGTAGCCGAAAGCAAAGGATGCCATTTATAACTTTTTAACACCTGTAAGTTAATGCAACGTGCTTTTTCAATGTGGGATGTAGCTTGATAAGGGTTTTAAATATTTAATTTCATTCTTGTGTAAACGTTTATTTTAAACATTAGTTATTCTCTTTAAACCATAAGGCAAACAGCCCAACATTGGCTTGAACTTCCATTGTACCTTTTCCTTCAATAATTTAACTAAGCTGACGTCACACATGCCGCCCTGCAGTGATACCGAATCAATCAGTGTTTCTTCTATACTATTACTACTTAGGTCACTACAACCTATTTTGTGTGCTTCCAGTTTCTTTTGTCTGCGTGACTCAAGCATTGAGGACAGGTTAAGGTCATGTTTTTTTTTAACTCACAAAGAAACTACAACGAGAAAAGTCAAACACTGACATGGAGTTCCATCTTTTTAGTATCTAAAATATCTCTGTGTGGAATAAAGTTGAACTTCCTGAGTCATCACCCTTAAAACCCCCCACGCAAACACAGGGTGGTAATATCATGTCCATAGAGAGACTATAGGGAATCAAAGCTGGACAGTGCTAACCACTGACCGACCACTCATCGCTCCTCTGTGACTAATCAGTGTTGTTGTTGTTGCGCACTTACTCAGCTACTGAGTGGTAGAGCTTGGCAATGCCCTGGTGGGTCCAGTCCTTCCCCAACTGTGGCAGGATCTGTCCAAACACATCTGACCTTAATCATTCAAACAAACACATTTAGATATTAGTCACATAAACAGAGATATTCCCGTCCTATATCACTGAGAACAAGGCTGCAAAACGTAGCAGATGTAGAGTAAAAGTCAGAGAAATCTGAGCGTGACAAAGCAGACCAGGAAAAGCAGATTGGTGCTTAAGACCGTTCCTAGAAGGTCACATAACAACTTTATATATTCCATCATACCCAGAGAACATTATGGACTGTTCCCCACTAATGAGGATTACTGGCCCATAGGGCAGGCTCTGTCTCAACCGCAGCTTATGGCCGTGTGTGCTTACAGACTGAAATGTAAATGGGCTCATTATAGTCCCTGTGCTCTTCCCTCTCTTACTCAAAGAGAGCCACATGTCACAGGTTGGCCCAAAGGGTCACACAGATAATAAGTTTCAGTCAATCTAGACCTGTTTGATGTTGACCACCTATAAACCTCATGGAGTGGGCGATATCAGACCTGCGTCAAAAGATTGAGCTAGCTTCAAGATAATTAAAAAGGTTAACATAACTCAACGTGGATTACGGACTTAATAACGGCTGTTTGAGAAGGACTTTAATTTGTCCGTGGCAATAAAATAGCTTGAAAAATATGTCTAAGAGGGGAAATGAAATGCTTAACTTATTTAACCTTTCTTTCTTTCATTTAATCATCAAAACGATTTAATGTTACGGACTGTCGTTCACCTCCTTGTCTCCATCTGCAGTGATCACACTAGTCAAATAACAAGCCTTATGCCATAGGTGTTCAATTTGTAGCTTTAAATAGCATTGCACCTCCACAGATGGTGCCTTACACACAGTTATCTTTTTTCATGCTTACACATTTGACATGTCTTTTGACAATAAATACTTCACAATGTGCAGAAAGGCTGATACAAACGTAGCACAGGGTGATACTCTAAATCACCCTGTTACATGCTTAATCAATTTGTGGTAAAAATTAAGAACATACATCAGGATGAGAGTGGAAAACTGAAAAGCCTAAGACAATGTAGTGCAGTCAATTACTGAGTTGTTCATTACGACATTAATGTTAGACTTGTTGTTTTGTTAATTTCACTAAAACCTAGTTTGTCTCACATTTGAGTGCAGTAATTACATGTAAACTAATGTGCTATGCAGGTTCATCAAATATGAATAACACCTAATTGAATTGTTACTCTGATTAGAGGAGTTGTGCGGTACGTACTTGGTGATGGTGCCATCGATGTCAGAGATAATGACTTTATCGTCCCAGTTCCACAGATAGATGGTGCCCTCGCAGCGGCATGTGCCCTGGTACTGGGTAGTGATGCTGAACATCACATCGTTAGGTCCCTCCTTCAGTTTCAGACTGGCCTGGAAACACAAGGAAGACAGTGAAAGGCATCTGGAGGCAATTTCATTTTCTGTGTCCCAACAGTGCAGACATTTCTCCCCAGTATGATTTGTTTGCCACAGTACAATCAACGTTGACAGGTCTTTAGAGCCCCCTACAGACTGGAAGCAGAACAAACACATTGCAGGTCAAAGAGAGGCAGCAGGGGGAGCTCTAAACTTCAAAATAAACCATTTATCTCATTCAGTACTCACAGTTAATAATCAATCACCTTTTCTGAAAACCAGATACAAGGGAGAAGGATTCAATATAAAGAACAATTGAACCCTCTGAACCCGAAGCAGTTTTAGAGCGCCGTCACATTGTACTCTCTGTGGCCTCATTTTTACAAAGAATTAACACTGCAACTTTAAGGAAATAAAACAATCATGGCTCGAAGTATGGAACTCAAACAGTTACAAACTTATACATAAAAAGTAAAAAAGGACACACTTTTAATCTATGTTAATTATCGCTTTTGTGCCAAGAGGTGTTAACAGTGTTGTTCACGTAAATGGAAGCTCTACATACGATTGGTACTGAACTATTTTAGTTTTTACAATTACTTTTGAACTCTCCTCTCTGCTAAACATTTCAGAGGTTTCACTGACTTTGTGTCACATGACTGTTGGCCCACAGCCAAGTCTTTCAAGGCCTAGCAGTTGCACTGGGAGGACACACTTAATGTTATTTGTACATGACCTGACAATCATTTTAACAATTTTGAAAGTTTCTAGTACTGGAAAATGGTGTACTATAATTATTTCAAAGCCGCTGGTAGGGTGTTGAGATTCAGAGCGATAATAATATTGTAAAACAGTTAAGCAGTAGGGTGCTATACTTTTAAAGAAGTTGACGCAGTGATTTTGAGGAAGGGAAATACTTGTGTAAGAATGTACTCACTATCTGGTCAGAGGACAGGCGTAGTGACTTCCTGTAAGTGGGGGGGCTCGGGTGGTGCTGAACATCGACTGGCTGCAGTCTCTCCTGACAGGAAGCAGCGCTCACCTCCTTGGCCTCTTCATCACTAGAGGAGTCTCCGGCTTTAGGCCTGCAGGAAACAAAAACAATTTGCGTTATCAAATGCCTGCATCTATATGTAGCTTTAAAACATGTTGGCTGTGGGTGAAGTAACCACTCTATGTCTACTCTAAGTGTAAACAAAATGCATGCTTTGATCCTACTTAACTATTTTGCAACTTCTAAACTGTTTAAGATTTGAAGCAGATTACAATTCAAAGTCGCACAATACAACGTGATCATGACGACTTGTCATAAAACTGATTCATAAGCTGTGGATGTTTTTTTACAATCTCATGCTGGAGTTCATCAAGTCATTGAACTCACTTGACTGAGTAACAATAAACCTTTGGTTCCACTTACGGCAGGGGCAGTTTCTCCTGAGACATGGAGGCTCCTTCTTCCTCCAGATGAGAGTCCTCCTTTGTTTCAAGCTTAGTCTCCGACTGGAAGAATTAAAATATCAGAGGACATAAAGTGAAAATTAAAAAAAAGCTGTATTTATGGATGTGTCTTTCTGCAGTGCAAGTTGTCTTTGAAAGCATTACACACCTGCTTGATTGAACTGTCTGCCCTTTTTCTCCAGAACCACCAGCGGCCTGACTTCTTTGGCATTTTCTCCTTCATCCAAGCCTCCTCTGTAGCCTGGGAAAAACCAATAAAGACCGTTAGCGAGGAGCAAGTTTCAGATTCATAATAATCCATTAGTAATGAAAATACATTGAACTGAATACAGGGATCACAGTACCTTTGGTAAGTTCTTCTGAAATGCTTGTAGACTCAGAATCAAGGGTGCAGCTAATGTCCAGTTATAATATCTGAAAAAGCAGAGACAATTAAGCTTTGTTCAATATTTATATAGGACATGAACTTTTAATATTATTTATAATAATACTTAAGATATCTCTAGTTCATTTTACGTGTGAAATAAATGTTTTCTTACCTATTTCCTATTTTCACTACCAGGTTAGGGTTATCGATAATTGCTGGACTTTCAGCAAATTCACTATAGATGATGATATGCTCCATGAACCTCTCTGCAAACACAGAAGGGAGAGGAACATTAATTATAGACAGCAGATGAAAAGGTCAGTGGTGGAGAGCCATATCATTTTACTTAGAGCCACAGAAAAAGGTCAGAGACGTTTTCTTCCATCTGCCACATTAGTTAAGGGCTTCTAAGAAACACTTCCAGCAGGAAGTAAAAGACTCAAGAGATAATTTACTTTTGGGATTCAACCCCAGTGAAATAAATCCTTGTGGGCTCAAAGGGAAATGTTGGTGCAATCATTGTTAATGTTACACATAGAAAGAAGATTTCTGTGGCTGGAGGCATTCTAGTGACGCAAATACAATGTTTTTGAATGAATTTAGTGTCTTCTACTCACTGAGGTTAACTTCCTACCCTGCATAAAAGTACTAAGTGCACTTTCATGTACATTTTTTATGAGTGCTATTCTGGTGTACCTTTGGATATTTCAGCATTTTCTGTGAGGCCTCCACACAGAGAAAGAGTGACGTCGGGGAGGTCACTCGCTGAGTCAGAAAGACACTCTGTGCCGCTGTCAGCCGCCGCGCTGCCCACCGACTGAGGAGACTGAGAGCCGGAGTGCATCTCAGAGTCCATCCACAGCTTTGTAGCTGCCTCAGACTCACTGCAGCAACACACGAGTACAAAACATCAATGTGCTGGTCAAGGGGAAGAATATTTATACTCTATTTAATTTTAGAATAAACCACGTTAATTAAAAACAGGTCATGCAGTGACGTTAATTAGGTGTTTCTAAAATAATCCCACCTCTTAGGGAAATATCGTGCAGCAACATCAGGTTCAAGTACATTCAGGTCATCTAGGTAGATATCCTCAGGACCCTGATGCTGGCTCCTCTTTGGGACACCTTGGATCAACAACAGAAGTATTTATCAGTTAATCAGAACTAACCGGGAGACAATTGAAAAAAGGGAAATGCTAACCACCATGTGTACCTTTCTTCTTAGAGGGCGAGTCGCTCAGTTGGCTGTTGGAAGGGGTGGAGGTTGCCACATTGGGTGGGAGGACATCCAGAGGATCTGCGGGGGTCAGGGGACTATCAGAGGTTATGATGTCGATGGATTCCAGAGGCATCACGGGTGTTAAAGTGGTGATGGGTGTCCGTGGCTCGGGTTTGACGATGGCACACACTGAGGAGGAGGAGGAGGACGCGTCTCCCCTTTCAATCTCAGAGTCATCCTCCATGGCCTCAGAGCTGAGGATGACCCGGAAGTGGGTGCTCTCTGATGGGGTGATCCTCACTGTTTTTAGTAGTTCTGCTTTCTCCTTCTTGGGGACCTGGATTTTTGATATGGGAAAGAAAGTTACTAATAGGAGGGGACACTGAGAAATATGTACCTCTGAATAAGCCTCATTCACCAATATCTTCATAAGTCTTTTCCTACATTTTTCCTGATAAAAGTATACATCAGATTAGGGCTGCTCGATTATGGCAAAAATCATAATCTCGATTATTTGGGTCAATAATTGTAATTGCGATTATTAAATGCGATTATTCATTGACTTTGAAAACATCCATTTATTGGAGAAAAACCCAAAAAAAAAAAAAAAAAAAAGTAATAATAATAAAAAAATAATCGTTTTAATTCGATTACGTTGTTTTCGTAATCGTTGCAAGCCATCATCGTAATCGCGATTAAAATACGATTAATTGAGCATCCCTACATCAGATGACTTGTTATAATGATGCATCCCAGTGTCATTGTAAATTGAAAGCATATCCAAGCTGATAATAATTAGAAAACGGTAGCTCTAAAAATAGATATAAAAAGGGCATGAAACCGTCCGCACACACACAAAGAAATGCCACAACAGAATCCTTTAGGAGGGTGGAGCACTGGTCTCCAAACATAATTAAAAACACCTCAATAATTCTGCAGGATGTGAACGCCATCATAGTAGCCGCCGCAGTGGATATACAATAAAATAAATTAGATGAAATACAATACAAAGGTTCGATCACTGAAATGGGATGAGCAATTCCCAATTAACATAATTGAAGTGAATGAAAGAGTTTGGTGTTAAGTTATAATTAAATACCATAATGCTTTGTAAAATAATTAGGACAAATAATATTAATGATAAAAAAGTTATTGAAATTTAAATTCTACAAATATTATACAACTGTAGAATTAAATGTTTGTGCTCTTGAGTGTGCAAGAAAGAATTCCAAATTAAAAAAAACATTGTTGAATGTCTTAATCTTCATGAAAACTGCAAAAGTGGGTTCTTAATAAAGCATTTCTGGCTGGTGAATGAGACCTGATGTTAGTGGAGAGAGACGCTTACCCTGGTGGTTTCTGGGAGCTCCCCCCAGGTCCACTGCATGTGGGACTCGGCTCTGAGCATGCTCTCTGAGGGCCGGACCATCAGCTCAGAGTCACTCTTTGGGGAAAAGGCCTGAGACAAGCCATGACTGAAGGGATAGATGAACAAATGCAAACAGTCAGTGAGATAGAGTCTGTTTCTCTGCCACGCCCTGGCTGAGGCTCTGTTCACGTCAATACATACCTGTCATGTGACGGCCAGTCCCCATCAGACAGCGGATAACCATCGATGCTGTGTCTGGCTGCAGGTAGTTTGGGGTCAATGTCTCGCATTGTGGACAGTGAAGGTGACCTAAAGGGGAAACCAGTGTTAATTTGGTGAACAAACACTATGACTAAATGAACTATGTGAGTCAATAACCTTTTTATCTAAGTCATATTTAGTCTACAGCGACAGCACACAATGAGCACAGGACTCAGAGTAACTTTCTTAAGATAAAGTTAAAAAGGACAACGACAAGGCTCGGGAGAAAAAGAACAAACAGATATTTTGCCAAGATAGATTGCCTGATATAATCTGATGACTAAAATGTCAACCATTTTCACTAAAACTATACCAAATACTAAGGGTGTTCTTTGACTAAGAAGACTTAAATGCCTGGAATTCTTGTCAACTTGATTAAAAAAGACAACATCAAAGGGTAAGGTGGATTATGATAGCTAACAAAGACATTAGACACAGGACTAAGACTAAATGATATCTGACATGTTTTACACTAGGTGAAGCACAAATATAATAAACTCTTCCATAACAGTGAGCATTGACCCTGAACCTACCTTGAGACATGTGCTGACCCCCCCTCGTCAGAGCTCAGGTCCATCTCAAAGATCTCCTCATTTTGCCCAGCGCTGGACATAGCAGCAGTCGTAGCAGCAGGTATGTTAGCAGCGATAGCGTTTCCAGTAGTGACCGACATGGGCGGGGTCAGCTCCTCTCTTCGGGGGTCTCCTTTGTGCTTCTTCCTCCGCTTCTTCTTCTTTTTTGTGGACCCGGTGCTCGGAGCAGGAGGCTCGGGGGGGTCTTCTGGGTCTGCGGGGTCATCCTCCAGACCTTTTGGGGCTCTGTGCTCCACCTCCGAGATCCAGAACAGGTGACTCTCCGTGGGGATCGGGGAGGTGGCCAGGTGGGCGGGGACAATCTGTGGAGGCATCGAGGAGAATTATGACAAATAGGAGAGCTTGGGGCTTAGGATAGATGCAAACAAGTGTAAACAAAAGCAGCATTAAGGATTCCTATTGGCTGGTACAGGTCGACTGTCAGATGTAGCAACTACAAAGCAGTGGTGCAATTATTTCCTCAAAAAAACACTTCCTCACACTTGCACGTCCCTGAAGGCGTTAAGGTGTTGCTGTTTTCCATGCTGAAACTGGAAGGGCTGTTTTCTAAGTGTGGACTTTTCTCAAAATAATCTGTTAAGGTATTAATTTAACATTTCACTGAATAATATGTATGTGATATGTGAATAGAATGACATTGGCTTCTAGGCTGAAACACAAGACAGTCTCATACTAAAAAGGTGTCTACTATAACAACACAACAAAACTTAGAAATTTGACATGATGTATATAATAAATAGTTTGGCTTCTATGAATTATACAGAACAAAGGCATCCAAATTAAATGTTGTGCAACAGCGTTTCTATTTCATTTCCTTTTTCCGAATGGTGTTAATTAATCTGAGTATGTGTTTGTTTGCTCACATTCAGTTCCTCGGCTTCCTTTACAAAAAAGGCCTCTCCGTTGTCACCAAGCTTCATGTGCAGCTCTACTGGCTCTCCATTCACTTCAATGTCAATCTGGAAGAATTCAACAAAAGTTAAGTCAAACAAATAGAAATGAACAATAGAAGAGCAGTAGAAGAGTTACAACCATAGACTACTAGACGCGTTCAAAGCTAAAATAATCGATGTATAAAAAAGGAACTATGATAAGGTTACAGAAAACATAGACCATTTGTTTAAAGATTAGACAACAGAACATGTTTTAACAAGCATAATGATGACAAAGAACCATCAGAAGGAGCCAGAAACATAAAAGCCTTTTTTCGAAATTCCTTGGACCCAACAGGACCATAAAGAGGATCGGATCAGAGCTTCTTGGGGAATAATTCGAGGATAAGGGAACGGAAATAGTTTAAGACAGCTAATGCATATCAAAATTAACTGCTTTAAAAAAGAAAAACATAACAAGGACACTGTAAAGGGTGTTGATTATGCCTTTTTAATTAAGTAAAACAATTAATTAGGTCATGTTTTACTGTACTTCCAGCATTCAATGTCAGGTCACATAGAAAGCCCGTAGCTGCTTACAGCCCCATCTTTCTCCTGGGGCTTTCTAAGACCCAATAACTATATGTATGTATGGGTGCTCTGAGCCTGCCAGCAGGGCAAACCCCCAGCTGACCTGAGGCCATTCAGAAACTTGACACCACAAAAGCAAAAACCAGATCACGATTAATGTGACTCACTAATGATCAGCCCAGTCTGACAACCTGAAACCAAATCATTCATATTCATTCTCAACATCTACCAATCATTTTGCTCTAGTGATCCATGTTGTATCTTTGCTGATGTGCTTTACTGCTGGTGTGGTTTCTCAGCAGCCTCAAGATTTAATTTCACATCCTCGGGGTTGCTAAGGGCAATTTATGTACGGTGAGAATTTTAATACCCAATTAATAATAAGGCAGAATAAATGAGAGTCCTCTTCAGCCTTTCACAGCCGGGGACAGGTTACCTTCACTTGGCTGAGTTGGGGATTTGCCAACACCCCACTGGGTAACTGGAATTACTGGAGGCAATGGCTGCTGGCAGATGTTGGAAATTAACCCATGGTACCACCAAGTTGTTTTTCTCTGACAGCCAATGTAGATTTTGAAGTTTCTACTTTCTTTTTACTTCTTTTCCCAAATGTTTTTGGAATCAAAAATCTCTTTAAAAACATTTCTGGTTGCCAACCTAAGTGACTAATGTACACGTCGCACAGCCAACATTTAATTAGTTTTAGCTGGCAACCAAAGCCTAATTCCCACTCTGTAAATGTTTAAATATCTGCGTGTCAGGGACAAATATCATAACACTATTTGGTCCAGTAACTTCTCCAAAACATATATATTTAGCAGCAGCCCTCGAGGATCTGATGAGTTATCTCCGGAACGTGTGCACAACTGTTACACAACAGCTCTTGTTGTCGAAGCCTTCTTCCTCACGTTTCCTCCCCCTCCCACACACTCAAGTTGTAGAGCTGTTGCCATAGAAACTCATTCATTCATTCCTCCCTATGAGCCCATCAGCATTCTGGGTAGTTGGTGAGAGAGATTCAACCCCCGCAGATCATCACCCACTCACATCCATGTAAACAGGCTTTCTTTTAATGAAGTCAGGGCGCACCGTTACCGTTCTAAGAATAGAAGTCATGGAAAAGTTCAACGTTTATGGGATGGAAGAAGAAATATTACATTTTGAATGCAGTGGAATTCTAGCCATCACTTATTACTGACTGACTCCCAAGATTTGTTTGTTATATAAGATGATTGAACTGATTGACCTTCATTTTATTTATCACAAATAAGATTGTGGTCGTTTAAAAATATAACCAAAAATATTAGTAGTATTTATTGTCTGCCCGATCATCCTAAGGTTGATATTGTGTGCTGTCATTTTCTATTGTGTTGTTTGCATTTATATATTAAACTTAATATATTTACTTCTATATTCACCTTTATTTATTTGTTTATTCCACACATGGTGGTTATTTTAAAACAAAACATGTACACTTATACTGGGTGTTTAAAGCGCATGGTGGAAAGGAGCGGGAGAAGAACATCGTATTTTACCTGTCCCTTCTTACAAAAAAATAACAACAAATAAATAAAATGAAATCACCATTAAAAAGTCAAATAAAAGCAATATTCTTTCAGTCACAGTTGCTTATAAATACTGAAACATAAAACATGTATTAAATGTACTACCAAAGTCGGCTCACCCATCAAATAGGCCAACACAAAGGAGTCGTTTTCTCAAGTGAGAATTAAGCACTAAAAATAGGACCATTGTTCCTGAACCGTGATTAATTGGATCTTATCTTCAGGCAAGAACATAAAGTAACAACTACTTTTAAGGAGGGAGAATAGAAGAGAACATCCAACGCTATCTATGGTCTGCAAACGGAGCCAAACATTTCCCTGAATGGTTTATTGAGGAGCCATTGAAGCATTTCATTTAGGTAGAAACCCTATGACATGGTAATGGGTAACCTGACTGCTAAACTTACATAAGTGATGCATGCAGATGGTTTTTCTACAACTTTTGAATTGGAAATGTGAAAGAAATCCAAAGAAAACTAAACAAATCTGAAGTCTACAGTAGCTTGCTAAAAAAGACCTCCGTAAACATGGGTAAGTATTTTTCAACCAACATAAACAAACTTGTATTTTTGGTGTAAGGTCACCAGTTTCAACATACCAATAACAATGATAAGAGACACATAACCCTGTTAAACACAACTAGACACCAAAACGAAATCATTTTCTAATAACTTTTGCAAAGAAATTGTTTTAGTTTGTGATCCCTTTGCTCAATATATGTATTATGCTCATCACAGTCCAGTTGCAGGGAAGTCTTAAGATACTGTGACTCAGGGAGAAGTCAACACAAGCCTACACTGTCCTGAATTGATCCAATCAGGCAAATAGGAGAGACCACATTGGTGGTGGACCAGTATGGTATTTCATAACATCTAGCCAGTCGCAAAATGTGTCAAGCAACACATTTTTCAAGTAATTAATTTAAGCAAGAACAGCCACAACGCTCTAGTCCTAACTCCTTAGTTTTCCTTCTTTGCTTTTTAATATGTGTAAACAGATATTTTTAGGGTGTACAGGCTTTAAATTAGGAGTCAGTATCCTTAAATGTAAAACCTAAAACAAACCAAATATGATCTGGCTTAGTTTGCACACAAACTTACTAGCCACTGAAACTGAATGTTCTCTTGAAGCCTGTTAATGCTGACAATGAAGCTCCAATTTGTTAATTCAAGTAACCATTGTTAGATAAGTGCCTGCTTCTTTAAAGGAAAACAAAACACCTAGTAGTTGGCACACTATCACTGCCTGAATTGTAAGTTTATAAGGGTGGAAGTGTCTTGAAATGGAGCTCGATAATTTCAATGACTACATGATTTCAACCTATCAGTGAGAGAAGACAAAACAAACAGATCAAATAAAATAATTGTTATAACTCACCACTTTCTCTTTGGAGCGCAGTACCCCCAGCTTGCCAAAGCGCACGTGGAATGGCGAGCACTGGTAAGTGCCATCTCTCTGGCGGACAACCACAACATCGATGCAGCCCGATAATGTGGCCTGATTTATGCCCTTGTACAGTTCTTTGACGGTTACCAGCACCTGTCCTGCCAGCTGGCCCACGTAGTTCATGGTGTCCGCCTGGAGGAGGAAAACAACTCAATATTAGCTGAGTTAAGAGAAACACAGGATGAGAGGAAGTATTGCTCAGCAAGCGTCCCGGGGAGCACAAGTTGTAAAATCATTTTCCACTTGACTTAGCTCCCTCACAATCTACTCACTGTTGTCTCTTCTTTTAAGTATCTTTTTTGGAAAGTCTCATTTGTCTTTAGCTTTGATTTCCCAGCTCCCTCGGCCCTGTGGTGTCTGTTATCTCCTGACCTGGATACAGACTGTGCCACTGGAACCCTGTTACTGGCCGCTGTCCCACATTAACCACATTAGGGGGGGGGGGGGGGGGGGGGGGGCTGACTGCCGGGCTAAAACAATGAGGAGAAAACCTAACACAGAGATCCCACTGCCCTGATGCAATGAAAGCAGCTGACTTCCTGTTTATATTCCTACCTCTGTGCTATGTTTATTAAATACAACACTAAAAGCCGTAGCTCTGTGGCTAATTATAAATGGACTAGGATTAACCCGGAACATTTTCTCAAAGCACTTTTTGTTTCTTGGTAGAAGGAGTTTCTAAGACTGTAAATTCCTTCACAAGCAATCTGTTTATGCTACTTAACCAGAGAGAACAGTACAAACAGGCCACAGTTAATCAGACAAACTTTCCTTCCTCCCTCTGGCCTCATTACTGAACTTAGACTATTTGCCTTCATTACTTCGCTGTGACATTAGCAAAACATGATTTGGGTTTTTTCAGGTCAGGGTCTAGTCGAGTTGGGCTTGTAAACATGTTCCCCTGCTGACTTCATGACTTTATGCAACCTGAAACGCTCCTATCTCACACTGACCTTTTGTTCGCAGTCAAGCCATGAGTACATTGGGTGATGGGGGGGGGGGGTAGAGTAGGGTAGAGAATAGGCACATTTGCGCTAGGGTGGCATCATAGAATATGGGAAACTGGCATGATGTGTTTTACTAGAGTGTTAATGATTAGATAGCAATAACATATTAATAAGTGAAAGTACACTCAGATATCAACCACTCTAACCACACACAATGTGCAATATTTATGATATCTCATAGCTATCACTGACAGTTCAAAGAATGCTATAAAGGTTTATATGGTTTGATATGAGGCCTGTCAACAACAATGACCTCTCTCAAAGAACATCAACCCTCATTTGTAGACAAAGAAAAGTTGAGGCCCTTTATTGACATTCACTACAATGACACTCCTCTGGAAGATAACATGAAACTACAATCTGAAGAGAAGTAACCAGACACAATGGAAAACGTTTCTAAAAACACAAAAAATCCATTATCCCTACAACTGCATGTGCGGACAAAATGAGTTCTAAACTAACAGAAATGTTACGAAAGCCAGACTATTTCATAATAATAATAATAGATTTATTTTGTTAGCGCTTTTACAGGTGCTCAAAGTCGCTTTACAGATATAGTGAAAAGAAAAGAACAACAAATAAATATATATAGTTAAAGTCAAATAATACAATAGTGTCGAATGCTGCGGTGAGGTCGAGGAGGATGAGGATGTTCAGGTTGCCGTAGTCAGAGGAGAGGAGGAGGTGGTTTGTGATTTTCAGAAGAGTTGTTTTGATCGGAAACCGGATTGAAATGGCTCAAAGAGGTCATTGGAGCTGAGGTGGGATTTTAGTTGTGAGGCAACGACACGTTCAAGTATTTTTGACAGAAAGGGGAGATTTGAGATGGGCCGGAAGTTGGACATGATGTCAGGTGTGAGTCCAGGTCTTTTGAGAATGGGTGTGACAGCAGCCAGTATGAGAGAGGGGGGGAACTGAACCAGATCAGAGGGAGGAGTTAATGATGGTGGGCCGGCGATGAGTTGGGAGATGGCAGGGAGGCTCTCTTTAACACATTTGGAGGACATTGGGTCAAGTGTGCAGGTGGAGTTCATTCCAGTCATGAAGTCAGACAGTTGCATGGGGGTCACAGGGGAGAAGTGGGACAGGGGCTGTGAGGTGAAGGGGGGGAGCCAGGAGGGGAGGTGGGGGGTGCTGATGAGGGTGTCAGATTGCTGTAAATGTTGCTGATTTTGGTTTGGAAAGACGAGAGGAAGGAGTTGCGCTGTTCGGTGGTGAAGGACGAGGTGGCGCTGTCACAGGGTTTGAGAAGTGTGCTGATGGTGGAGAACAGACGCTTGGGGTTGCTGGAGCCAGACTGAATGAGTTGTGAATTATTATAATAATAATAATAATTATAATATTTATGTATCTAGCCACGTGGTTTCTTTGAATGCCCTGGGGGTGTTTTAAATTCACTGTGCCTCTGTCAGGGGTAAAGTGTCCAATTGTATGTTGTTTTTCAATTCTATTGTTTCTCTATCTGGATTTCATCTGTCTCTTGAAACCAAAAACGGTCTTGTTGCTATCAAGCTAATAACACACGTTTGGGGAGTTATGCTTTAAACTTTCACTTTTATTTGACACCACAGAAAGTTGCATTGCAGGTGCAAAGCCTCCTGGACTGACAGTGTTAACACCAAGTGCAGAGAAACATGGCATCTAAACCTTTGTAAAGTCATCGTTACATAATAAGGAAAATTCTACATTCAAATACTGTGACTGATGACCCTTACACGGGAGCTATCTGGAAAGGCGCCAGTATCAGTTATCTAAAACACATTCACGTGTGACAAACATGCCATTGTCTTTTCCTTCATTTAAATTCTACTCAAAAGTTACATTTCAAGCAAGTAGCTACACCCAAAAACAAATCATTATAGGACAGGTTTGAATTTGGTGAGAATAAATTGCTAGCATAATAGACAGACTTTGCAGGTTGTGACAAAACCAGATTTTTTGGATTGAGACCATATCAAATACAACCTCTTCAACCTATTCTTTCACAGTTGTTGAACACAGTCTTGAATGAAGCAATTAATAAAACGCATTCATCTGATTCACTGTGGTCAGGTATCACACCCTTGCAATACAGAATGAATAACGGATCAGCAGGCCCCGCGGCATCACACCAAAGCTGTAGCCGACTAAATGACCGGCGGTCAGTTGACTCACCACAAGGGACCAAGAAGACCTCAGAGACAAGGACTCATCCTGTTCACTGTAGTTGTCTGTGTTGTTGTCTGTGTTCCCCCCCAGGAGCTCCCTGTCCCCCCAGGATCTCTGTCTCTTCATTACAGTGAGCAGAGCACCAGCTCTTACTCTCCCCACCTCAGGATGGTCCACTGGGATCAATGCTTTCTCCCCTCAGATTATGATCACAATGCCTCCTTGCCATCTTGAATCCAATCTCATATGTGGCCCACATAATCACGTTGAAGTAACCGAAGGGTAAATATAAGTTCACCGCTATCTGGCGTGATTACGCAACACCGCCATAAACTTTGACATTGTTCTTCTTGGCTATATTTTGCAGGTTGTGCTCTTCCAGTCAGTTGACAGGACACTAAGGGATCAGCCAATAGGATGGCCCCTTTAAGGTGGTGGCGTATCGCTGATAAGGGACAGCTAATTCCTGTGAACGGCTAAGCAATGTTTCCCCCTGATAAGAGTACATGCTCAGGATAAAAAAACAAGCAGCACTGCGCAGCGTGATGTTCATGTACTGTCAGTCAGTCACATGTACGGTACGATCTTTACTGCATGTGCTTGTTATTGAGCATGACTAATCAAATGACAGAGTCTGCAGAAGTCAACCAATAGGATATCTGTACATCGGACTTTAACATGCTTTCCGTTGTTGCTCATTGCCCTTGAACTTTTTGACATCTGGATCATGTTTATCGCAAAAGTGAAACGTTGAGAATTCTAGAAATACTAAAGAGATAATCTCTCCGAGGGTTCGACTGTATCAAATATCAATAAAGCTATTATTAGCCAAAGTGCTCAATATAGATGGAATTGGTACACTGCGGAGACTGTAGTCCAAGCATTGATGAATTCAAACATGTTGTTGTCATCTGGAGGTTTCCTTTAGTCCGACTTCCAGCATCCGCCGGCCTCATTTAGCTTCCAAGTGAATGCCTGAGATAAACATAATGCAGGCATGAGGCTCTTCCAAAAAGGCCTCACTCTGCCATCTGCTAAGCCCTTTGTAAACACTATCAAACAAAACACATGGGCCTACTGGGTGTGGGACTGAGGCCGCATCCTCCCTCTGTGTTAGGATCTGTTCTCTTTGAATATTTGACATGTCATGCATAAATAGAATAAGATATTCCTTTAAGGGGGAAAGTCATAAATAACTCAGCAGTAACTGAAAACACTAAGGGGGAAACAATGTAGAAAGCCCTTTCCTTTAGTAAATACATGATGTACTTGTACCATTCAGAACCAGGCATGACTATTATGGTCCTAGTCACTATCATTATGCTCTTCATGTGAAAATGATACAGAGCTAATTTGTGTTGAGGGAGGGACACAAGAACCAGACCTGACTGTGACTGAGCGCCAGGCCAGCCAGACGACACAGGGTTCATGTTACACTCTCTCAAGTAGGGTTTCAGCAAACTGCACTGAAATGAGCCTGCTGCTTATGTGTGCAAAAGAAACCATAAGAAACCACAACCTCAGACAGACCGTGTTGGTTTCCAATTTTGCACATTCTGCAGAAACGCCCTGTGAGAAAGAAGAAGCCAAGCACAACGTAAAGTGCTTCTTCTTTTCTTCTAAATCAATCAATTAAGTATAGCAAAGGGAAGTCTGGACAAATGTGTTGCATGTTTGTAAAACTGTAAATCTTCTTCAATAACATTTAATTAACAGTGTTAAAAAATACGCAAAGTCAAAACCAAGTCGGTTAGCTTTGGCTAAGGTTATTGGGTACACACAGTTTATAGATGTTTAATACCACTCCTGCAATAAACCTTAATGATATATGATATGAAGATATATGATCAATCTTTGTTGAAACTACAAACTGTTATGTTATGAAGACTTTTCTTTTTGTCGCTGCTTTTAATTGAACTATTCATATCTTAGACTGCACTGTAACTTTTATCCATGTACTTTTTCTTTTAATGTTTATTTTATTAGCTTTTCTTTTTAATGACTGATTTTAAATGCCATTTTCTTAATCTCTTTCATTTTTTGTAAAGCACTTTGAATTGCCTTGTGTTGGAAAGTGCTATATAAATAAACTTGCCTTGCCTTGCCTTGCCTTGCCTTGCCTTGCCTTGCGTGACAATGAATGTAATAAAACACCGTTTGAAAGCCATCTAAAAAGAACTGCAGTCATTAAAAAAAAGCAACATTTTAATATTAAAATAACATTAGTATTAGCTAGTAAACACAATATACTGAGTGCAAATCAGTTCCCTTTAGTCAATCAATGTTTATTTATATAGCCCAATATCACAAATGTTATATTTGTCTCAGTGGACTTCACAGCTTAAAGGTGGGGTAGGTAAGTTTGAGAAACCGGCTCGAGATACACTTTTTGTTATATTCCATGGAATGCTCTTAACATCCCGATAGCAATGAATATCTCAAGTGTTTTGACAAAAAATCCATAAAAAAAACCGTCATCTGTGGAAGCTGTAGTACTGTAAAAAGCACCACCAATTGGATTGCCGCCCTGTCTGTCAGCCTTCCATCTCGTGCACGCACAAATGTATCTCGTGCTCTCATTGGGCGTGCATTGCGCGTCCATGTGTGTTGGAGGAGGTGCTCTGTAAGGAAGTCTGAAGGAAGGGGCGGATTCTTTTCGGCTGTGTACTTTCAAATGTTAGTGCACTCGAGCCGGTTTCTGAAACTTACCTACCCCAGCTTTAAATAATAAATAATAATAAGGAGCTCATAGTGCCCATCATGAGGTGTCATGATTAGCTGAGTCATAGTATTTGAGTTTACCTAAGGGCAGTGAGACTGATTGTACTGTGTTGACAGTATCAGCGAGGGACTATATCCCATTAAACATTTACATAAAGTGCCTGAAAATAAATGAACATTAAACAAGTGAGGTTTGAGCTAAATACCCCCTACATGCAGGTCTGGTTGGTGAGGTGGCAGCACCATTACATTACATTACATTACATTACATTGCATTTAGCTGACGCTTTTATCCAAAGCGACTTACAATAAGTACATTCGACCAGGAAGACACAACCTTGAAGAAAACAGAATCATATAAGTATATCAGGTTTCATAGAGCCAAACATTTCAAGTGCTACTCAACTGGCTTTAGGTAAGCCAGTCCTTTATTGGTATACAAGTGCTTTGTTAATAGTTCTAACGCTCGAAGTGGAGTCGAAAGAGATGAGTTTTCAGTTTGCGCCGGAAGATGTGCAGGCTATCTGCACCAGACGTGGAAGAAGTGCTCCGACTCTTTACGTAAATGTAGGAATGCCAAAGTCTATAAATACTTAATTCAAAATGGTGTTATGTTGTTGTAAAAGTATACTATTTATAGCCAAATGTACTTCAAGTATAACAAGTAAAAGTACTTATTATGCAGAATGGCTCCTTTTACAGTGTCATATTAAACATGTGTACTGTGTATATTAAGTTATTGTGTTTTAGTTTCAGGATACATTTTAAGAGCTTTAAGGTCGAGCAAATGTAGGTCTGTTCATGTAAAAGGTAGCTAGTAGATAAAGCTTTCAAGTAAATGTAGTTGGTAAAAAACTACAATATTTGTCTGTGAAATGTAACTTTAAAGTAATAGAAGTACAAAGTAGCAGCAAAAGGCCAACTCTAATGATGTATGTTTAAGCTGAACTGATGTACTGTACTGTATGCGAGTAGATATACTTAGTTACATCCCACCACAACAACTGAACTTCCCTCAAAACATGATGAACCCAAGCTTTACAATATACGTGTACTTTGATTGTGTGCATGTATATCCTCTATATCCTGTGTTTGTGCATGTATATCCTCCCCTGTGTGTGTAATGTGTGTAAACACAACAGAGTAGGGAAAGACATATCTTCTTCTTCTACTACTTTAACAGCTGCACAATTAAAATTATAGACACATTAATGCATCACTATTTATAAACCGTTGATGTAATGTATATTATTCTGAAAATGCCTCTTAAAGTACTTTTAGATTTGATACTTCAATTATATTTTCATGCTTACACTTTTGTACTTTTACATTACTTACTTGTAACATTTTGATTGTAGGAATTTTACTTGTAACATAGTATTTGTACACTGTGGTATTAATACTTTTACTATAAGATCCAAGCAGAGGTGGAAGAAGATAGTTTTACTTTTGGTTAAGTACACAATCACATTACCGAAAGTAAAAGTAATTGTTATGCTACAGTATGGGCCATTTTCTGAATGATATATATTATATGTTGTGATTATAATTATTGATGTATTAAAGTGTTATCAAAGCTGGTAAAGGTGCAGCTAGTTGTAATGTATTTGTATACTACAGGGTAGTTTGTGGATTTACTCCAGGTGTGACTTAAGTCTTATTTAAGTGTTGTTTCTATTTCACATCATTAATTCAAATCTGCAAAGTTACTAAAGGTAGTGGAGGAAAAGTACCATATTTACCTCTGAATTGTAGTGGGGTAGAAGTATAAAGTAGCAGACAAATGAAATACTCAAGTAGTAAAGTCCCTCAAAACTGTACTTAAGTATAGTAAGCCTACTTGCGCAAATGTACTTAGTTACTTTACTCCACTGGACCTCAGTACTTCTTCCATCACTGCTAAACATGCTAATTTCGGATATTAAAGCTGTCATATTGCTTGATTGAAATGTCAGCATTACACAGCCGCATTAACGTTACAGGAACAGGAACATGTGGAAACAAACAGAAACAAACACGGAATCATGTATTATGTTCACTGTGTACTGCATTGCTTGCCAAGTGTGAAGATAAAAAGCATAAACAGCTGTGAAGGGAACAGAAGAGAGGGAAATAAATGAATGGAGACAGGGCTCAGCTAGCTGCACCCGCTGCTAGCTTTACTGTTATCGTTGGGTTACCGTTAAAGCAAACGGAAAACAAACGGTAACAGTCACGGCTATTGCTAAGTCGCTGGTTTCAATGAGAAGTGTTCATGTTAATGCGTAACGTTATGACCTAATATCCAATCCTTTAGCTATGTGTTTCAGTGTTAAATTAATCCATCGTAGCTAAAATATGTTAGCCCGTTAGCTAGCGTTAGCGCACGGTGCATTCAGAAATATGCGTATTGAGAGGCTATCAAACGGTTATAAATCATCATATCATTAACTGTTTACCTTTCAGTTGCTCCAGCGGGATGCTGCCGATGAAGGATGTTGTTGTGCCTTCAGTGAGTCCCCATGTCTGTGTGAAACTCCTTCAGAAGCCTCCTGACGTGTCTGTGTCGGACCACCGTGGCTGACTGACTGTCTGGAGTTGGTGGGACAGGGAGCCGCACAGTGGCGTTGCTCTCTCTCTCTGCTGACACTGCTCAGGGTTAAGTAGTATTACGTTGAGCAACATGCATTTCTTTATTTTGAAAGACTTTGCCCTGAACACTGTTTAGAGGACATTTATTGACAGATATTTCAAAAAGGATTATAAATGTGGGTGAGAGATAAACTCAGTCTCTTGGCTAGAACCCATGTGTGCCCAAAGGCTATATTTAGTATGGAAAAATGCCACAACATTGGTTCTGATTGGTCATGACATTTGGCATAGACAAACTTTGCGAAAATATCTAAAAGAACTAAGATATGTTTTAGATCACAATAAAATACTTATTTCATCAATAGTCTAAATCAGTAATTTACTTTGTGTTTATTAAATGTCATCTCTTTTGAGTTTTTTCCCCACTACATATCCTTAAAAAATAAACTTGGAATCCAAATAGGATTGTGCTCCATTTAGTTTCTGAGAAAAATTCATTTTCTTACCATACTATAGTTATTCTATGGGCAGTTGGGACTACTGTTTATTCCTAGAATATAAGGATATTGAGACTAAATACTAAATATATAAGAAAATCACTTTCAAATTCACACTATCAGTTGCGGGCCCATATGGGTTAATGATCCACTGTGGGTGCAGCGCCACACTTTGGGAACTCATGATGAATGGTATCAGCAATGCAAGCAGGCAGAAATCAGATGCCACCATTAGAGCAGCTTTTATAAAAGGCCATCATTAATCACCAAAACCCTTGAGCTCATTGAAAATCACATTATGTGGTTCTAATTAAGGCATTTTTCTCAATGAATGAGCTGCTTAAATGGGCCATTATGTAAAGACCAAAAGGAAACCTCTCTATAGCCTGTGCACCTTCATCACAAGGAGTGCCTTAGAAGAGAAAACAGACTTATGTTTAACTTTAGTCACTAAATGCTGCAGGGCTTACCTTTATGGTTTCCTTGAAACACAACATTCCTTGACTTTCAAAACATTTATTCGACAGTGTCTGAAACCTACACGAGAAGACTTCCAAAAGTATGCAAGCTATGCCTTTATGACATTGCATACAGCTTTGTAGGCTGTGTGACACTTAAAGATACATTTTAAACTGATGTGTTGACCGACATTAGGTTTAACCTGTTCCACGTCTCTTACAAACTGTTATGTCTCCTGCAACAGTTGACTAATGGCACAACATACATGCACACAGTACAGTTCAGACATATAGCTGTTTACAAATAGACACCAAGCATGAGCGTGACATCCACCGACACGTTTCCATTGTCTCACGACACAAAGCAAAAAGCTGGAGGGAAGTTCATGACATCAGTGTTTTCCTTTATTTTTTTACATTGTATAAACCTCAGGCATGAGTTGGATTCAGAGGTCAAAGGTTTTCCAAATGTAAAACCGTAATAGTTTAAGAAAACGGTGTCTTGCTTTTGCTGGCCTTCATTGCTAAATCAATGATTAATGACAGGTCAACATTCTCCCAAGATTAAACATAACATGTACTGCTGAAAGGGTCACAAGTGACAGAAAACATATCTAGCAACTAAAAGCACACATTTATCCTCTCTGTATCACATCCACTGTTTGCTTCCTCGACAAGCGATGCCCAAAGCTCTTTAGCCCAGCACATGAAAGACGCAGGAGGAAGCAGCTGTATGAATCATTTATTTAAAACTGCTCAGTGCACCAGCATGTGCCGGGGTAAAATGCTTTGGAGAAAGCCCAGTCGTTTATCTTTCCTGCTTTATTTCGTCACACTGCATCATACGTTAGCCTTTCTTCTCCTCCTCCTCTGGGTTGTACACGCTGACGGTGAACTCTCCAGCCTCTTTTCCGTACTTGTTCTTCACCAGGAGGGCATATTTGCCAGAGTCAGCCGTGGTGACGGAGGTGATTGTGATGCTGGCAAACTTGCCGTGCTCGAACTTGAGCTGGTAGCGCTCATTAGACAGCAGCTCCTTGTCGTTCTTCGTCCAGCTCACCTCAGGTACGGGCTCGCCCCAGACATTTCCAGTCAGGTTCAGGGACTACAGAGAAAAAGAGGAATGCAGGGGTTTAGTGTGTGTAACAAGTCTGGATTTTACAGATTTAAGAGGGAAGGAGACACTCCTAGGAATGAGATAATGGCATAGTAATTTGAAGGGGAGACAGAGCGTTTAAAGGGATAGTTTAATGTTTTAAAGTGGGGTTGTGTGATGTACTTATCCATTTCTACAGTATTGCATTCCCCATGCCCACAGTTTGAAGAACTAACAAAAGTACCAGCATGGAAGATACGCCATGTACTGCTGTGGACAGGGGCATCAACAAAAAGTATCTTAGCCCCTCTAAAACATTATTATCAGTTTAAGTAAATGCTATACTTATAATTTGTACACAGCCCAGTCAGACAGCCCTTTCCTGAGGAGAACTGAAGTGCTAATATCCATCTTTGCTCTCTTCAAAGCCACCAAACTACTTTTATAAGACTTTTAACACAATGTATTAGTACTGAATTTATTTACCTTGCCCTCCTGGATTGCAACCACATCTGGCAAGCCTCCAACCACACGAGCGCGGTCTGAACAGAAAATACAAGAGTGAGTCAATACACAAATGTTAATCATTACTCAGCGTTTCAACCTGTGGAACATCTGCCTGTTGACAACATAATATTAACCAAAACTGGTAAATGAACCACCCTCATTCAATATATTTGATTTTACTGCACTGCATATATGTTTTAAATAACTTTTGAAAGTAGGTTTATTTTTTTTCTAAAATAGCCATTTCATCTTTGGGAAAAGCATTTTCCACTATTGATATATTGATATGAAGATGACCAACAAAACACTCCCTTATGTTGAATCGCAGTGAACCATTCAAAATGATAACGAAACTAAAATAGCTTTCACGTGACATCTTGTCATAGATGACGCCACTTGGGGGAAAAGAACGAATAAATAATGACTTACTTCTTTCTGCGAGGGCTGCCGCCCTGCGGAAGGAAGGACACAGACATTTTTAGAAGCATCTTTTACAGTATCACAGCACAGAAAGGTCGCCAACATTTTTGTTTCCCTTAGCTTTACAATTGCAGGACATGTATTTTGTTTGTGCTTGTTAAAGGGCTCACAAAGTGGAAAAAAGTCTATTTTAAGTTTGTGATGACTGTTAGTATTTATTTGTGTAAAGATCCTCTTCAAACGGAGTTACACAACAGCGTCAGATGTGTTTGTTTACTTACTTGAGCCTCTGGAATTCTTCAAATGCCTCTTCCCATGCTGCACAAGAAAAAAAGCCAAAGTAATTAAGATTGTTTCACAAGTCTGAAGCACCTTCCTCATTTGACTTTAAACGTTTCACTTACCCTTGCCGCTCAGATCAAAGATTCTCTTTACGCCATCCTTGCCATCAAAGATGTCCATGGTGTATTTGCCCTTGTCCTTCTCAGTGGGCTCATTGATTTTAAGCCAAAGCTCCTCTCCTGTGACTCCAGACTTAACTCTCTCTGAGACGGCAATCTTAGCATCTCTAATGGAGAAAAAAGGGAAACACAGAGATCAATTAAGGCTGGACTGTTGACTCAAAGTATCGAGTACCCTGAAGAGCAGGATTCAGACAGGAAAACAGTAATTGCAGCGGCACAATCATCCCTGTATTATACCAAAATGAGAAACGTGACCTCACTACCAGTTGGGGAGATTTTGTCCCCATCTGTGGATTGTTTTTTATATAATTCATGGGAAGATTGTGCAGGAGAGCTGATAGGGACAATTATAGTCAAAATAGTGCAATATTAGGCATCAAAAACTAATTAACTATGGCAGCAAAACATATTTATGAGTGCAAAAATACTCCTTCATATTCCATTTACTAATTGGTCACAGACATGTTCAATCACCCCAAAGCCTTTTGAGATAATTTACTTGCAAGCTTTGAAAAACAAAAAGCCTTTTCTTTGCAAACATCACATGTCTGGAAAACACGACCAACTGATTTGAGAGGGACTGAACAACCTGTTGCTATTAAGCTGAACAACTGGCTGTTGGAAAAACATAAAGGCATATTTCATATGTTTTGTAATATATTTTGTGTTTCATGCATCCTTATTATTTATGTGTAGGAATAGTATTATTATAATCCTTTGGAATGTTAAGTCTTATCTGTACATTTCTGTAATTTGTGCTTGTATGTCTTTTTTTCTAATTGTTTTTTACTAGCTGTATTCTTTGAGTGTATTTTTCTTTTGATACATCTAGTGTTAACCCAACACCAAGCACTCAGGTGGAGCTTACACCAAGGCCAAATGTTCAATCTTGCTATGAAATTGAAAGTGAAAACATTTAATGGGTTTTTCCTGAAAATTGAGCCTGTAATTTTCTGTAATCCTGCTGACAAACAGACAAAAACACAAACTGAACTGAACAAATAAGCTCCTTGGCAGAGCTAACGAAGTAAAGCAAATATTTGATGAGAATGGAAAAGTTATTTTGAAATCCTATATGTAAGTGAATAATGTTGATTTGACATACTTTTGAAGCCATCCAACACGCAGCTCCTCATTGTAATACGTGACCGAGGAGGAGAGGATGATGCCGTGTTCAGTACTGACGATTTTGATATCAGAGGAGGAGTGGGCTGGAGGGAAAAGAATAAAAGTCAAGTTTTTATCTACATCCCATGGAAAACATATTTAATAAGTGGTATATAAAAAATCATATTTAAGCATTTAAGTCGGTAGCCTTTTAATGGTTTATGCAGTGAAAATACTTTAAAATTTCTGCTTCTTTCTGTGGCTTTTTCTGCTGTGTGATGCTCAATTACTGCTTGGTGTTTGAAGTTTAATGACTCACCAATAACCCTGAACAGCTCGTTCATTACAGCCTGGTATCCTGGGAGAAAAAGAAGAGAACCACAGTTATTCACTTTTTTTTTAGCAACACTGACAGGACTGAGTTTCCCTCTCATAATTCATGGACAACGCTTTACCTGCATCTGTCAGATCGAAGGAG